GAAGTCGTCGAGTCTGCTTGCGAGACGATTCGTAATGACTCCCGAAAACAGCACGTACACGCGGCTCAAAAGGGAAATCGCTTCGTAATTCTTCAAGAGAGCATTATTGCCTATCTTGAAACAGAAGACCACCACACTTCTGCTCCACTCCTCCAGAGTAGTCCCACCATGGAGGACTGAAATAAAGAGCTTTTGAAGGACTTCAAGCACCGATTTTCCATCCACTTTCAGAAGCTCCGCTATAATTCTATCTGGCTCACGAGCCAGAACTGGAACAAACCAGCCCTCGTCGCCTGCCAGTGGTTCGACGGATCACAACACAATTAGCACCTGGGGCATGGACACTAGATATATTATTAATTAAAAATGTAGTGTAGGCACCCTGAAACTGATCTGGTGTTGGATTATCATTACGGCACCAATGGCTTCTAATGGCACTAAAAAGTTTTCAATAGGCCCTTGGTTGAGCATTTAAACAGTTGGTTGGCATCCAAACAGAAATAATACCATACTTAGTCTCCAAGTTTTTAAAAGAATTTGTATTCCGTCCAGTGCTCATGCCCCAGGTGCTAATTGTGAAAGAGATAATTGAAGAGCTAAGTGGTCAAAGGTGTTATCTGACAAAATTAAAAAAGTCCGACTTTTTGCATGAACATAGGTTTTAACTGATGATAAATCAATTCATAAACTTAAAATCCGCCAATTCTAATTCGTAACATAGTTACAGACACTGGTAAAGATGTTAACTGCCAATTAAAAATATATTTAACATTTGAAAAAGTATTATCAGCAGAAATAGTTTCTGAGAACAATTATCATTGCTACTTTTGGAAAAATATAAGGTGATAAGCAATCAATAAATCTTCAGCATCTTCGTAAGGATAACATGATTTAGTATTAAAAAATAAGGTGTTATAAGCAACAGTTTACGTTTGCTAATGTAAAATAGAATGTTTTTTTTTTCAAACTATGACAAAATACAAGCTATGACCCCTACATATCATTTCTGGAAGTCTTGTAAAAAATTGATGTTATTCCAACAGTGTCCACTAGATGTAACATGAATCACAAGATTATAATTTCTAAATAAAAATTTGTGTTAAAAGAACACAACTTTGGTATCAATATACTGAAGTTGTGTTAGGGGTCTCAGTGCTTTTATAAAAATATTCTAAATTCTCTATAATTAATAAATTGTCTTATAAAAATATAAATTCATCATCATCATCATTATAAAAAAGTTAATAATAAAACTTTTACATATAAATAATGGTTATCTGTTATTTTACCACATAGAGTCTTTGTAACTTTTTCTTAACAAAACTAAATTGGTTTATAGTAAACAAAGGTTTTCAATGTTTTTTTTAATAAATTGACATAGAATAACCTTTTTTAATATAATATATGTAATAATGAATCTTATCTAAGTATTGGGTATAAGTTCATTTGATTACTTATTATTTTCAAACGCGTATTACTCTTTTAGAACTATTTGTTAGTTAACACCTTCATCAACTTAACCCTTCAATAGAAAGGCTTTAATCTCTTATCATCATAGATAAATGCAAAGGCTACCTCGAAACAATCCTGGATGTTGAAATAGTTGATATTCAAGAGAAAGCTGCTCAATAAATGAAGGCAGCTTTATATTATGTAAGTGGATACTTTGCTAGATGCGCTTAAAATGTTTTTAAAAATTGGAGTGAATGTGCGCCCTACAAAAAAATTAAACACAATATTAACAGTTTTCAGTTAAAGAATTTTTAAGATAGAAACTATGTAAAAGAATTAATAAAAACTTGTATACTAAATCATGTAGATTATTAAATTTTTGAAATATATATACATAAAAATAAAATAATTAATTGTTTCATGTACAATTCTGTAGAAAATATAAATAAAATATTCAGTGGAAAAAAGAACAATTTTTCAACAAAAGCCAAAAAACATTTACACAAATGTAAAAAAAGAAGTTTTATTCAATAAATGACTTAACTTTCCGAAATGAGTTTTAATTTTACATGAAAATCTATAATACTTATTGTAAGAAATTGTATAATTAAATGAGTTCTTACAATAAGTAAAAAAAGATCAATATGTTCATTAATAAATAGCCTATCCATTTGTGTCAATCGCAAAATAAAATAGTGCTTAGGTACTTTATGAGGAGCATGTTATCAATAATTATTTCGCATTTCGGTGGTTTAGTTGTAGGGAGATTAATCAAATTTTACTCCTTTTAAAAATTGGAATTCGCTATTATGGAAACAAGATTATGTAGAAATTTAGTCGATTTTTATAAGTTGATAACTATTTTAATAAGAAGTAGATAGCTCTTAAAAACCTCACAAATAACAACTAGCGAGGCATTTTGCTCAAACAGGAGGCAGTACTTCGTTTAATAAATAAAATAGTATTTATAGAATAATATATAATACATAAAATACTATTTATAGAATAAAAAAAATTATTAAAAAGTTCATGTTATAGTCATCACTAAACGATCTACATAGTAGACGTTTGCCATATTTTATGTTTGCCGAAAAATTTCAAAGCACGTTTTTGAATTGTCTATAGATTAATTTTAAAAAGATTTTTCATCAATTTTGAAAAAAATGTTTAACAATTGCCGTTTGGTATTTTAGCAACTCAGATTTTTAACAAGAACTGATATCGAATATTGATGTATTTTAGAAATATGTATTTTACACATAAGAAAGAATATTCCATTTGGTTGAATATAATCTCAGGGAACAGTCATTACAACTCTTTTTTCATCTTTTTCTTCAGTGCTGTCCTTTGTAGCCTTGTTTTTACAAACCATCACATTCTCAGATGTTGAATTAATCTTTTTCACAGGATCATACTTACCGGTGCTAATGTTATGTACACAACTTCTTTACTTAGAATCGTATTCCTATGTTAACCATTGAATAGATTGGTAATGTAAAAAATGAATAGCAGTAATATCGTGGATACAATAGATGTACAACATCATCTGAAAAAGATTCATCCCAGTCTAGAAAATAATGTTTATGCTGCTAATAGACTACCCATGTATACCCATGTACTAACGTATACAATGTGCAATTTGGATACAGATGATAAATCAGCTTTAAATATATCGATACAATTAGCATCGGGCAATATTTTGATTCTTATGGACGATCACCTGCACGATATCATTTAGAGTTTTTAAAAAGGAATTGTAAAAGATGGGATTGGAATGTTGATAAGATTCAGAATGAATGAGTCGACTTCAGTTTGTGGTGAATATTGCTTAATGTATTTGCTATATAAGTTTCAGGGATGTTCAATGCATAGTTTTAGGAGCATATTTACAGATAAAAAGTGTGTTCTACAACGGTATTTTAGTGGATGAAGTGTTTCATTTCTATTTTATAGATAATAAGCAATATTTTTTTTTAATAAGCATTAAATATTTGTAAATAAAAATTGTAACAAGATTAAGGAATGTGTTTTACTGGTGATTCAGAATAGCGTGGTAGTTAGTTAGTTCAGCTACGTACAAAGAAGTATACATAAAACAATAACACTGATTAAGCAGGGTGCACGACGAGAAATAGATAAGAGCGTTAATGACGGTGTTCAAGGAACAATAGATAGAAAAGATAAGTGGAAAGGTTGGAAAAAATGGAAACGTTAAAGAGGGTGCAGGCCAACCGGATATCAATTAGATATTCGTTAATTGATCTGCACATCTCCGGAATCGCGCATCCTACACAAAAAAGAACCGCAGATTCGTGATCAGAGCATGCCAAAACACTTCTCGCTTTTTTTAGGATCCGTCGACCCACCGGCAGGCGACGAGGTCTGGCCGTGAGCCAGAAATGGTACAAACACACTACTCGTGTGGTTCCAACGATGACGTGTACAGCTGTCCATAGTACCTCTCAATGTCACTCGAAGTCTCAGGTGTCACGGAAATGATGCTGTCACACTCGGTCTTCGGCATCGACAGCTGCCTCTTTCTGGCAGACAGATCTCTGGCAAAAAACTTTGGAGCTCTGGTGTTCCGTAAACCCGCCGCATGCATTTAAACATCTGTCTGTTCAGTTGCCGATATACTGTCAAATCTGCTGAAAATTGCGGATTAATTTCCCGTCTAACAGCCACGAGATTAAGAGTGTGATGGGCGAGTTTTTGGATTCTATATATATATATATATATATATATATATATATATATATATATATATATATATAAAATTTCGGTGAAGTAAACATCAAATATCTATGTTCTAAAACCATTAGAGACACTTATTGAATGCATCTACCCTTAATTTACTGTTAAAAAAAACGTTTCAGTGCAAATAATCAGCAAATTCACGAGTGGCCAAGTTTCCGTGCCGGTGAGTGTATATATCTTAATATATATAAATTACGTGTCACGTTGTTTGTCCGCGATGGACTCCTGAACTACTAAACCAATTTTAATTAAATTTGCACACCGTGTGCAGTTTACCTCAACTTGAGAGATAGGATAGTTTTTTTGCCCATGAGTGACCTACAATTTTTTTTTTTGGGAATTTAATGATTTTTAATAGGACATGACAAAGAGTCGTTGAAAAGGGCAGAACAACGTCTGCCTGGCAAGCTAGTATATATATATATATATATATATATATATATATATATATATATATATATATATATATATATATATATATATATATATATTAGATAACATTATAATCACAAGAGGGGCCAAAGACTGCCCACCATGACATGTGAAGGAGAGTTAAAAGGAAAGGAGAAGACCATCTCTGCTCGTATATGCACTTACGCGGTAGTATAATAAGTTTATGTATGCAATAAATATATGCATAAAAAATTTTAAAAAAATCGATGACAGTAGTTGTTGTTATTGTGATTTCATTGTGTTGTCAAATATTTGTTATCTCTTTAAATTTATTTAAACTAACTCTAAAGTATTTATTAAAAACAATGCTCTCTGCTGCAAAAGTACGCATCCATGGGATGCAAGATGATAACTGGGTGATAAAAGATAAAATCAATCAATACCGAGGTCTTATTAAACTATACGGTTAGTAGTTATTCATCACGATTTATTTCCAAGTCATTGCATTTTTGTGCTATTTACTTGTTCTAGAAGTTGTAAGCCGATGTCCTATTAGCTGGATTGACGGCCTGATGGGCAATGCAGTCAGTGTTTGTATCGGTGTCCTAGAACCTTAGTTTGTATCAGTCAAAAAAGCTTATTGTTCAGCGATGATGGGCTGAAGTTAGTGATTTAGATTTATAAATAAATACGCTACTGCAAAATTATCTTTTATCGTAATAGTTGACGGCTTAAATACCCTGATCAATGAAGGGAAAGCAGTGTCTATCAGTGTTTTGATTATAATACATTCCCCTGCATTTTTGAAACCTCCAGTAACATATGCGTACACTATGCTCTTTTTGGTCTTAATGGTATACGGAGCCAATGTTGGAATGGTTTTAAGATTATTACACATAGGTATGATGTGGAGAGTATAGCGGGGGCTCACAGCAGCAGCGTCCCGATCCATCATGGAACGGCTCAAAGTTCGATTCTCGGTCCGACTGAGTACTTTCTACACATTTATGATATGTGTAAATTGTTCCGGTAAGCCTCTGTATACCAATTTGCTGATGACACATGTCTTATCGCAGCTCACAGGGATCTAAGTACTGCGGAGATGCTGATGCACAGTGAGTTTAACTTGTTATGTCAATGGCCACACGACGTTAGTTTAACAATCAATTATCAAAAAACTAAAGTCACGGACATTCATCTACCATACTTAAAAACACATGGAACACCAAAAGTCGTGGCTCATGAACACCGGTGTAGGAATCGGTGTATCAATGTCTGCGACTGTAAGCCGATTGTAAATGTTAAACAAAATCTGTATGTAGGTCTTAAGATTGACTATAAATTTAACTGGGGCCCATATATATATATATATATATATATATATATATATATATATATATATATATATATATATGGTTTATGCTTTAGTAATTAAAAAAATATGAGCTATTTTTAATAAATATTAACTGTTTTGTTTATTATTCATACCTATAAATGACAAAAAACTGGCGATCGAGTATTGCTCTCGTCACCACAGTATGGAAGTGCTCAATTTTTAACCGGTGCTAAGCTATCGAGTTAACTAAAACCGCGTATAGAGTTTCAGAAGGCCCGCTCAAGGAAGGTGCGCCGCCGGGCCGTCGCAGCCGCGCGGGCGATCGTCCGCGGCGCACAATACATATATATATATAATATACTTTGTGTGCACTAAGCTTAAAGCTATCAAACTTGAGATTGCTGTATATGGCATTGGCCAACTCTGGTATCAATGAGTGCATAACCAGTTATGGAAGAACTTATAAAACTTACCTTCAAAAAATCTATAATATACAGACACGATTATTAAAGATAATAGTATCATATAAAATTAAACTCAAATACAAACCCGATTATGATAATTATGTTATTCCAATATTGTAAAGACTTCAATGTATTTGATTAAGCAAAACTGTTTCCTCTGATTACAAAAATTCAATTACAAAAAAAAAAGTATAAACTGCCAAAAGTGATTAGTAAGGGTCTGAACGTACGCTCTTGCAAGCATTCTGAATAAATTGGCTAAGCCAATAGCCAACAAACAAAACACCTCGATAAATTAAAAACATTCTGAAAGCTTACTATACCGTGGAATAGTTTAGAATGGGGGAGGGACCTACGTGTGGGTCCACTACCAGACAAAGAATTATTGTGAGCGAATAAACATTAAATTAATCGATAGTGCACATAATCTTACTACAAAACGATTGAGAGTTATTTTAATGTAATAATATTATAAATGTATGCAGAGTGAAATATTTTGGTATTTAAATTTTTTATTTTTATTAACATTGATAACGATCCTCGTATTTTTATATAAAAAGTGTGACAAACGAGCACTCAATCACCTGATGTTAAATGGATGCTGTGGTCCATAGATATCTACATCCACCATTAAGAAAAATGGAGATGCATTCATCTCTGAGGACCTAAGACATCTTAATGGAATGCCTCGTATCCAGTAAATAGGGTCTCCGGCTAGGCATAAAACTGATATAAAGCGCCTACCTACAAATTATCTAAGACAAATAGGTAAATCCAACTTTAACCGTGAGGTCAATGGACTGATTCAACTTAGCGAGCCGAGTTCAGGAGATTACGACACATCTTTTCGTAGGTATACCTCAACACCTAAACAGATTGTACAATCTGCTTACCAGTGATGACTTATGTGTCTGAGGCATGGTCGCTCAGCGAGATATGGCGATGGCTATGCTCGGTGTTTCTCCTCATGATAAATTTAGAAATGATACCCGCGCTAGAACCAGAATAACCGACAATGACCCGACCTAACATGCTGGGCCGTTAGCATCAGATTAGTAAGCTGAAGTAACAGTGGGCCGGCCATATAGTTCAAAGAATCTACAACCGATGAAGGAAGAGAGGATCTCAAGTAGCTGCCTCGTGCCGGTAGACGAATTGTTGGTCGGTTCCCCACTAGATGTAGTGACGAGCTGGTGAGACTCGCAGAATGTCGATGGATGCGAGTGACTAGGACCGTGCTTTGTGGTATTCCTTGGGGGAAGCCCAGTTCAGCAGTGGACTTGAGAAGGATTCTAATGATGATGAAGATTCTGTGAGTGGGTGGTCCTTTCCCCGTCCAGCCGAAATATTCATGCTACAGTTATAATATAGCTGCAACACGGTTCTACCACGTTTTTATTACAATCACCTACAGTCACGTTTGAAAATAGTTGATTTAATACCTTGTTACATTTTCCAGCAGCCAACAGAGCAAAAAGCCCCATGAGCATGCATCAGTCCAATGCTTAACTTTTCAAAGCTCACTTCTTAGCTGTTTCAAGAACAAAATTTCTGTTATATTAATATGTAATTGGTCACTTCATATACTTAGAGATTATGGTACAACGTTTTAGTTCTAGGTCCGCTCCGAGATCCTTGAACTTCAACGTTTATTTAGTTGTTAATTTACACACTTTAATATAATCCGAAAGAATGCGGCTCCAAGTCTACTTATATCAGATGAACATAGATAGCTCTCTCCTATAAAGAGCTACAAAGTATGGTCCTGAGCCAATTTTATCCACCGACTACCTGCATATTTCATCAGGTCGTTACTTCATCTGATGCGGTGCCGCTCATCTATTCAAGTTCATAGTAGGTATGCTTTATTCCTTATGAACGTTCACTGATCGACATTATTTTCTTATAATTAAACAAAAATGCCTTTGCTGCAGGATAGATGCTATGCAAATAAAAGTTCTTCACTTGCCACAACCATATTATATATTTTATTCCCAAACAAGATAACATATACCTACAATAGTTAATAAAGGTTAGGAAAAACAGTAAATAAGAAACAGAAATAAGAAGATGGTACAATGAGATACAGTTAATTAAATTAATCAAATAATAAGTTAAATCTTATCGTCACTCAGGCGGCTTGAGCGTAGGGTCTAGCTCTTAGATCTTAGAGCGTCACGCTGCAGCTATTTATTGGTTGCAGCACTAATAGATCACCACCATCACCGGAAAATAATGGTGCAGTGTTTCTACTTGTAAGTGTATATAATCTGAGAGCATTCATACTGAAAACGAAACATTCTATGTAAGTCCTCCGGGGTGACAACGTGCGTATACATGCCACAGCACTCGTATACCATCAGGTGGACCATGTGCTCGCTTGTCACCCTATACAAAATAAATGAAATCTTTTCATATTTGTTTATACGTATTTTCATTTAATAAAGAACGAGATCGCAAGATACATGAAGGAGATTTAGCGAAGCAAAAACGACGTTATTCACGTGACATTCGACAACTCCGTAAAGATATTGCTAAAAAAAGGCAGGAGCTTGGCGTAGCTGTGTATGGAGACAAACAATTTCTAAGAAATGCCTTTCAGGAACACAAACGATTACAACTGACATACATGAACAGCCAAGCTGACGTAAGGAGAAACATCTATTAAATATATTATATATTATAATATAATCAACATGATATTTAACTCATTTATCCATAACAGCTAATCGGAAGTCCATTACTGAACATAGGGCGTTCCCTATAGATTGGGTATGTTCCGAAATGTTTCCAGTATACTGGTGAATACAAATGACGTCATTAATTAACGCCATATTGTACTGGCGTACCACCGTCATATTGTGTCGGATATCTTGCCATATTAAAACAATTTATAATTGTGCGTACGCTGAATGAAGCATGCCAGAATTTGTTTTTATTTATTCAATTACAAAAAAATTATAGAATAATTGCTGGTGGGTAAAAATAGGTTAATGGAGATCCATTCTTCACAAATTAATTGAAGCACGCTATAATGACTTTTGGAGCACAAAATGAAGAAATAATCGCCAATACTTTTCCAATATGGCGCAAATGTGTGATGTCATATATTGTCAGTTGTGTTGTGTTGCTTAAAACGAATCACCAGTATGGCGTCGATTTATGACGTAATTTGCATTGGCCAGTACGCTGGGCACATACCCATTGTCTCACAGTATACCTTAGTTGCCACGCTTGAGAAGCGGCTTGGCAACCGCAGGTTATTATTATTTTTCCTTGTCTACTGTTTCAGATTCATTCCTTAAGACGCCTTTTACGGTACCTACGAAATGATATGGAATAGAGTACTTTCTTACGCCGCTACTTCACGTCGCAAGATAATCTTATAATAGGTCCTTACATATGAAATTGGCGTTTTGTTCGGGAGGAATATAAAGTCAATTTTTTTTTTGGAAAATATATTTAATTAATCCGTGTGCACCGTTGTTATCTCGCACTTTTGCCATCTCATCGGTAGTTCATTGATCTCTTTACTAAAAAAAACCATGGGGGCGAGAATCAATAAACTCTTTGAAGGCGGTTTGAACTGTCGCATCGGAGTTTCGGAAATTCCGGAAAAAATGGTAATCTTTTGGAGCAAGGTCCGGGGAGTACGGTGGATGCTCAAGACATTCCAATTATAGCTCATCTAACTTAGTGGTTGTTTGTTGTGCAGTGTGTGGTCTTGCGTTGTCGTGAAGCAGCAGTGGCCTAGAGCGATTGACCAATCTCGGTTGTTTAGCAGCTAGCTCTTCCTTCATGGTTTACAGTTGCTGACAATAGATATCTGCCGTAATCGTTTGGCCAGATTTTAGAAAATTGTAGTGAACGACACCGGCACTAGTTCACAAGTAACTTTTTATGAGTTAATTTTCGTTTAGGGCAGGATTTGGCTGGGTTTCCAGGGTTCAGCCATTGCAGCGAGCACTTCCGATTATCGTACAGTATCCAATTTTCATAACAAGTAATGATTCGATTTAAAATCGTGTCGGTTGAGCAAAGTAACACAGCACCCATCGTTCAAGTTTTTTTACTTTTCCGGTTTACTTCAAGTGGATTAATACAGTTTTATCACTTACCCCGAAGCCTGCAGCTATCTCTGAAGTGCTTTGTGATGGATCTACTTCCACAATAGCCTTTAATTCTTCATTTTCCACTTTGGTCTCCGGCCGTCCACGGGCTTGGTTCTGAAGGTCGAAATATCCAGAACGAAAACGTTGAAACCAAAAACGTACCTTGCTTTCTTTTGCGACATCAGTGCCGTACACATCATTAATCCTTCGAGGTGTTTCTGCAGCACTGGTGTCACGGTAGAACTCGTACTCGTAAATAAACCGATATTTCATGTTTCCATTCTGCGGTAATAAGCGACGCCAAAGAAAAAAATAATGAAGAAAAAACAAATGAATGACTGTTTTCAAAACTCAAATGAACCAGCTTAATGAATTTATAAATTTGAATTTGGAATTCTTAACCAAAGAGGAGATAATTCAGATCTAAGTGGTCAGTACGACAAAACGCTAATTTCATATGTAAAGACCTAATATTATCTTTAATGTTATATATAATAAAACTTCTTGTAGATATGAGCGTAAAATTATACTTTTTTAATCGTAATTAAACCCTCTCAGAAATGAGGGAGGCCTGTGCCCAACAGTGGGACGTATATAGGCTGTAACTTTACTTTACTTACTTTAATCGTAATTGACGAAGGTCCATATTAACAGTTTAAATATTATTGGAGTACCACCATCGCAATCCAACTCATGATCAGGTTGATTGCGTCTTATGTATTTTAAGAAGAGTACCACGCTTGTTGATCTCTATTCAACGTGTTTAACGTAATTATAACATTGATAGCTCCTCCAATAATGTTCATATAAATATGTGTGCCTAGGTGACAGAGATTCGCTCAGCGATATATAAAGAAAATATTTTTTTGTGTGTGAATACATATTTTCAGAGATAACTCCTACAGAGTAAATATTTCATATCCAGATAATGTATCACATATCCAGATAAACTTGGAAAACATTATCTAAATAAAAAGATCTTGAGTGGAGAGAAAAATTTATTTCGTGCACTTTTGTATATTTGTAATTTCATTCAAATCGTTTTCATCGTATTCATGAGGGAGGAAAATTTATATCGTGAACCGTTGAATAATTGTTAGTTGAATAAAATGTTGTATACTAGATTACAAAAAGTTTATGATCACAGAGAAAATACGAACATATTACATTTTTTTTGTGTAAAAGTAAATATGGGTAATGTAAAACAGTTACACAGTTTGGCACCTATTATTTCTTAGAGAAATAAATCAGCACTGATATGCGTACTTCGCCAAGTACGTTGCAAACCGGTACTTAGAATTGCAATTAGCAATTTTGTTGGAGCAATATAATTATAATAAAAAGTGTTAAAAATATTTATTAAAAGTGATTTATTAATAACTAGAGATCCGCCCCGGCTGCGCACGGGTGTTTTTTGGATCTCGACAATCTCTGTGTATAAAAATCTTTGATCAAAAATCTTGATTCTTTTGATTATTTTTTGATGAATTTTTGTGTTTGTATTTAACTGGGACCCTGGATGGTTTAAAAACTCAATTAGACCCGGTAAGTGGCGCTGTTGTTGAGATCCAGAAATCATTCGTGCAAAGTGTGGACAGTTCTCTAATTGTGAATATAAATCAACCAGGGATCCACTCAAACTCATATAATTTTTTTTAACAAAATCCATTTTCGAGTTTTAGCAAGACTAACGGCCAGCAATAGATTTTATATATAGAGTTAATATATTTTATCTCTACAAAGTATAGAACAATGTCGCTTCCCGCCGTCTGCACACTTAGATCTTTTAAATTACGCAACGGATTTTGATACGGTTTTCATCAGTAGACAGAATGATTCAAGAGAAAGGTTTACATGTACACATAACACGCATGTATTATATGTACATGTCGTCGAGATCAATCGTCCGTGCGAAACCCGGGCGGATCGCTAGTAGGGTATAATATACTCCTAATGCATAATTGCGGCATAAGAAAATCCATCAGCTTATTTCGTCGGGTGGACATCGTAGGAGTAGACTGTGGGATAAGGTGAAAATATCTTACGGTTCTAATAAATAGTGGTGTGACTATCTCGTTTCAGTTAGGCGTACTCCTAACTGAAACGAGATAGTCACACCCATACTGGCGACGGGTGGCGGCCTTAGAGCTGGGAGACGTCATCTCCCAGCTCTAAGGCTGCGATTGTCAGTAAAGGCGATCATTTTTACAATAAGAAAGGTCCGGGTTCATCTGTGGACTTTTCCGAGCTGATCATGCAGAAGACCAAGATGTTCATAAATTTATATGAATGTTTTCGCAAACTACAAATATTTTTGCTCTATTGAAATCCTGTCCGTCAAAAAGTTTTCTAAAGAAATTGTATTTTAACAGTGGTAGAGTCACCCGGCAGAACAGCAACCGAGGAAGTAACATGATCTCACAGAATACCTACATGAAGTTAGGCGCTTTGCTTCGCTTTGTTAGTGCAGGTGGCAGAAGGCCCATCGAGTCCAAGAGGAAGGCTTTGGCGATTAGTTTGGACATAGCGAAGGCCTTCGATCGAGTTTGACACAAAGCGCTTCTCTCGAAGCTTTGTCGTTACGGGCTTCCCGAGAAATTGTGCAATTGGATCACCAGTTTTCTGACTGATCGGAGCGTGAAGGCCGTAGTAGAAGGTGCATACTCCGATTACAAACCTATTAAAACTGGTGTTCAACAAGTCTGCGTGCGTATCACTAACGCAGTTTCTTCTGTAAATCATTAATATGTTGCAAACCGGTGACATTCATTGCTATGCGGAAGACAGCACTGGTGATGCTTTATACACCGGCCGTGCCAATATTTCTAGGGAAAACGTTACCGAGTACCATAATAAACTTGTGTCTGAAGTCGAGTCTAGTCCACTTCAATTCCCAGAAGACACAAGTTTGGGCGTTTACCGCTAAAATACCACTTTGTCGTATCTCTTCGGTTTCCTCCATCTCCTTTCCCCATAGTTGCCTCAGCTATTATTTGAATCCTCGGCGTCGACATATCGAATGACATGCAGTTTTGTGGTCATTTGGAATAGAAGGCCAAACTCGCCTCTAAAAAACGTTGTCATCAGAGCGGGACAATATATCATGCAGGCACACCGCCTGCAATTTTACAAGGCGCAGGTTCGCCCTCACGTCAATACTGTTCCCATCTCTGGGGTAGGGTTCTCTACTAACAGCTCCTACTATTTGATCGCATCCAGCGCAGAGCGGTTCGATTCGTCAGCGACCGAGCAGTTTCTGATCGGCCTGACTCACTGGCGCTGTGAAGAGATGTTGCATGTCTTTGCGTATTCTGTCGTATTTACCACGATAATATAAGTGCTGAGAGAAATCTCGCACAACTTCCTTGTGGCATCGACTACCAACAGCGATTTTTCCGGACCGATACGACTTAGGGACCTTCAAGAAAAGAGCCTACTATTTTTTTACAGGCTGTGTTGCAGTTGTTCATAGGCGGCGGTAGTCAACTACCATCAGGTGAGCCGCATGCTCGTTTGCCCCCAAAAAAATTTTGCGTCAAATAAAAAAGGGACAAAGTAACTCTATTTAATGTCATTCTATGATAGACATCTTTGCGTAAATATATTTTAGAGTTCGTTTCTCCAATATTAAATCGTCTTTTTAATTATATTTCATTTTCAGAAAGTTTTAGAGAACATTCGCCAAGAAAACTTTAACAAAAGGAAGCAGCTGGACCGAATAAGATATATTAAGAAAAAGAAAATGGAAAAATTTCGGCGCACACAAGTACCAAACATATTTAAATAAGCCCACCATTATAATATTTTGATTTTATAATATCACTAATATACTATTATTTATAAGCAAATAACATTATTTTGATACATTATGTATTTATTTATCATTCAGAATATATTAAAATACCTAAAAAATTATTTAGCTTGAATCAGCAGAGCTACATGATCGCCTACTGTATGAGGTGGGCGGAAAACTGCCAGCTGAAAAAAAGGAACAAGCTGTGGCTAATTATGTTCAACGTGCCAATATAAAAAAGAATGCAGCTTTGGCTATTAAAGTCATGTATAAGAAGATTCTAGATATTCTTAAAAAGGTTACTGTCAATCTTGTTATTTACATTTTTGACATAGTTACTCAATATTTAACTGCTATATAATTCAACTTCCAATGTAATTATTATTGTGTCTTTTGAAATAGATTAGCAATTTACTTTGAAGAATAGATACAAATCCAAGTTCAAAGATTTTAGAAAAATGTTTTTTTTTTTTTGCAAAATAAATTCGATTTCTACAAAGCACACCCTAGCTATCTGCTTCTGATATTATTATTCTAATGCATATAGATACAAACCCAAGTTCAAAGATTTTAGAAAAATGTTTTTTTTTTGCAAAATAAATTCGATTTCTACAAAGCACACCCTAGCTATTTGCTTCTGGTATTATTATTCTAATGCATATAGATACAAATCCAAGTTCAAAGATTTTAGAAAAATTTTTTTTTTTGCAAAATAAATTCGATTTCTACAAAGCACACCCTAGCTATCTGCTTCTGATATTATTATTCTAATGCATATTTCAACAGATTATCAACCCATTAATATGTGTAGTCGCCCAACACTGCCTTGTCAGTGCGAGGCTGTTACCTTTCTCAAGGAAAAATGATATGTAGTTGTGGCGTAAGAATATCTATTAGTCTAGGTGACAGAGGAAGGGTTATTCCGTTTATCCATCCTAAAAAATCCTCCCTAAAAAATCCACCCTAGGGTGGGTACTCGGCAACTTGTGCTCATTTATCTACCCCAGACGGGGTGGATAATCGGAACCCAATTTTATTTATTTTTCCGACTTTTTACACCAACTACAGTTCAACTCATACACTAATTATTAATTAATATTTAATTACCATGAGCTTATACAATAATCTTATTACGTATTTCTGTAACCGTTAAGGTACCCATTGACGATACGTCCATTTAGTAGACTTCCAAATGGATGCACTCCAAATAAAATTGTATCCAGATACGGTACCATTGACGATACTTCCGTTTGGACGCATATCGTCACTTCGAACTTGGCGGTCGTACGGAATGGAAATAAATAATAATATGGATAATAATACTTTACTGGTGACTGCAGCAGGGTATTTCGTTAAAAGGACAAAAAACCTAAACGGAGCAATCCATCGTAGTCTTCAATGATGACAAGTCATCTACATTTTGATACTTAATTAAGGATACGTGTAAATGTCTATGGGCCACAGCACCCACCACCAACTGAACTGTGTGCTAGTTTGTCACTGCCATTCTAGATATGGTATAGATTATGGTGGGGCAATATCGTTGACTGAGGTAGAAATTAAAAACATATAATGGATATTTTTCATTATAACTATACGTGGTAGAGCAACGTTGCATCTATATTACGGCTATAGCACAAATGGGTCAGCTCGAACGAAGAAGGGCCGCGATCTCACAAAATAGCATATAATAGAAGCTTAAATCTTCTGCGTTTCGTATTCTGAATATGACAGATTCAGTCTATGGGCTACGGTATCAACTTAACATCATGTGGACTGTGTCACCCATATCACAGCCTGTAGTTTACATAATAAAAATATAATCCAATACACAGTTTATATTTGACAAACAGAGCACATGTGTCACCATCAACACCAAAACATAAACTGACACAATAACGTCCAAAAAATGGACGCCAGTTCGCCCATTCACTGACAATTTGGACTGCTTCCATTTGGCGTGGACGCATGGTTTTCAATCCATTTGGAAATCCAGAGCTGGGTGAAATCCACCCAAATGGAATATGACCATTCACGGTACGATTTTGGACGATTATCACTCCATTTGGATTAATGGACGTATCGTCAGTGGTACCCATTACCGTTACAGTTTATTAAAGTCCATGCATTAAAACCAAATTAAACTTTCTTATTTGAAATAATATTACTACGTAATTTATAAATTCTGCAATATATTCAGGAAATTACCAATACTAATTAATTAATTATTGAGTAAACGTAATTTGATATCCTGCATTAATTCATTAGTTTTTATCTACATTTGCAATGGTTTTCTAAATTTCTTTACTAGAAAACATTCATTACAAGAAAAAATTACTTTACAAGAAAAAGTCGCGTTTTCTTTTTGTTTTAAATATCCATCTAGAGTGGATTTTTTAAGGTGGATAAACTCCTGAGAAAAATAGTTTTTCTATTAAAAACTGCCGTTGCCAAACCCCCGCCAAACGTGGCAACCATGGTAAATTTATTCACTATGAAACGGATAAAAGGCCAATCTGAGTACTGTGGCGACCACGCTGAGGGCGTACAGGGGGGGGGGGGGTGTTAAGAATCTCCTGCGGAGGTTCGGTTGCTTTCTTCGACGACTCAACCTGGCAACATTTAACACACTTAGTACACTGAGGATTCATGAAAATATACTGGAGCTAGAAGAAGAGTTACACAAGTTGAGGGATGGGATATTATAGGGTTAATGAAGTCCAAAGACAGTGGGAGGACACGCTAACTCTCGAATTTGGTTACTAGTTATTTTACTCGTAGGGCGAAAATCTCTTTCAAGAAAGTGTCTGGAGTGTGTAAATACTCAAAATCAACAAAGAGTATCGATTGAAGATCATACTGATTTACGTACCTTATAAGGCGATGTATTCGTCCGAAACCCACTAAACGGTGTTGATGGGAGAATTCAACGCAAAACCAAATATACAACAAAGGACGGTGAGCTAAAATAGAGGAAATTTAATATAGAGCAATGGTCATGCTGAAAACAAGGACAAATCTGTTCAGAAATGTCCCTGAACGTAAGGTTAAAATCTGGAAAGTTCATAGAAAGTTGAGAGATATACTGATCCTTAATGTTAAGTTATATCAACGCTCCGTCCGCCTAGTGCTCTGATCCTAAGCCTCGAAAACTTTTAACTCGAACTCGAACTACCAAGTAATTTTCATCGCTTAGAAGATTGCAATACGGTGGAAAATATAAATGACAGTGCCTGTGGTAACTATCCATGCTGGCGGAACTAAGTTCTGCAAGTCCTGTCCTAGAATAACCCAAATTATGAACAGATATGACCGTAGATAGACAACTGACAAAGGTTCAATACAGCTCGTACTGAAGAAGCGGATTTAAGGCCGCAGTCTTTGCCAGAGATCTGTCTCTCGGGAAGAACTGTGGCAGCATCATTTCCGGATCACCTGAGATTACGAATAATTTTAACAGGTTCTATGAACAGTCGCACACATTGTCGTTGGAGCCACACGCAAGTGTAAGTAATGACCGAAGAGGAAGTCTAATGCGACACTATTCCGGTGATATAATGGACTTCCCGTTTTGTTCTTAAATAAAAGTGACAGCGCTCTATTGAAAATCTAAAGATCAATTTTAACTGAGCGGCGTCTACGTGCTGTTTGGAGAGTCATACGAATTGTCTTCCACGTAATATTGTGCATTTCTAGTCTCTCGCACAATCCGGTTTCCGAAAAGGTTTTACTACTATAGACCACATACAAACCCTTTTAAATTGAAAGAAGACACTACAAGAAAGCCTTTGATTCTATCGAAACTTGAGCGGTGCTTCAGTCAGTGTTGTGGCGGTGTAAGCCGTGTAAGGTTGAATGTCGGTATATCGAGGTGTTCAAGTATTTGTACAGAAAGGCTACATTGGCTGTCCGACTACAGAATAACAGTATAACAGTACGAAACCTTTACAACTGCGGATAGGTGTAAGCCAGGGTAACGTAATATCTCTGAAATTCTTTACCGCTGCATTGGATGACGTTTTTAAGCTATTGCACTAGACATCAATGGCGTCAACATGAATGGCGATTACGTCACTCACCTTCGATTTGCTGACGATATAGCCCTTATGGTGGAATTGCTAACCCCTTTAACCCTATGTTCAATGAACTCAATAATGACCTATTCGGTGAAAGGTACTAAAATGAATGTCACGATAAATGTCAAAAGTGTAACGCCCATATCACGTTTATGCCGATAGGTTTTGGGAACACTACGCTCGAAGTGGTTGACGAGTATGTTTACCTACTCGTAGATCAAACTAGATATTTTATTTCCTTATATTATCCGATTATATATTTACTAGGTCTGTCGCCGAATAGCAGTGCTTGCACAGCGTACTGTATTTTGCTTTCAAGGGTAGGTATAGGAACCACATAACAAACCGGCTGTAAGGCGTTTAAACTTAGTATTCAGAGGTGACACAACTATAGACTACTTAGTTTGAAATTGGTTATACTTTTCCATGGACCCCCGTAACGTCTTACCGTCAAACGACTTTAAGTTCGTTTATAATTTTAGTTCTACAAAAAAAGTATGTCTTACATCGACTAATAGATCAGTCATCGGATCCAACTTGGCCTGATAGCGTCCGGAAATTACGACATATCTTTCTCGAAACCGTCTAACAACAGTGTATTACCAGTGCGTGTTTATTAGTAATACAACATGTGATCTGATATGTGGTCTTGCGCTGCTGACCGTATAAGAAAGCTCGAGATTGCTTAACGAGCTATGCAGAGGGCTATGCGAAAATAATTAAATAAAATTATGTTTTTGGTGAAAAGAGATGGTGAATATTCGATAATAACCTTATATCATGTGCACTAATTTGTATGAGTTATTCCGTTTATCGACCCTAAGAAATCCACCTTAGGGTGATAAACGCAATAACCTTAAAATAATATAACAAAAGCGTCACCCATTATCAATTATTTTATTTTTATATTCTAAAACTGTTTTGGAGCTTAAATGCTACGTCAAAAAACGGGGCACTGATGATCGTCATTTATACATTAATCCCGATATTATACTTATACTAATAATATTTACAATATAATATTTCTGATCCTCCTTAAGCTTAAAATCCATTGCTGGGCATAGGATGCTTCATCGGAAAAAACATTTGCTCTTATATGTCAAGTTAGGCTTTCGAACTATCAGATATTACTCACTTCTTTCTTGGTTACATCCCATTCTATTAGATAGTATATTAAATCTAACGAACAATTCTGGTTGGATCTCTTTAATGTCACCACCATTAATTTCTAATCCATACATATTTTTTTTCCTTTTTGTATGTAGGATTCTTCTTACTTCACGGTTGTATTGGAAGCTTTGAAATTAGACTGCCGAGCTCAAGGCAAATGCTTAATGGGTGCCACAGAAATGGGACAACTCGCCATGGAGTATTTAGATGACAGAAAATTTGAATTTAATAAATTGGAGAAGGAGATCAAAGCAAACATGAAAGAAAGGGAACGTACGTTGAAGCTTGTACGTCGGGAAGTTGCATACTTGACGGATTCCTTTCCAAACCTGATCCGCAAAGAGGTAACTTTTTACAGCTGAACAATCTTATTTTAAATATACAGACTATAAAGGAAGTTTAGTTAAGAGAATATCCAGGTGGCGCGGTGCTCAGCTTCACAAACATAGTCCTTGTTTTGCCTAGATAATGATCATAGAGTAATTTTACATAAGTAATTTTTATACTAAAACTGACTGGTTTTATCATTGTTGTAAGATATCTGGCTAAAAAAAATTTTTAAACAAAAAAATACACAGACATGACCACAATCCCTCTTACATTGATTTAAAAAAATTCAAAGGTGCAGATTAAATAAAAAAAAGGAAATAACGGGAAACAATACCGAATGATGATTTCATCAATTTTTGTAGCTATAATGAGCGCAAGCTGCGGTTATCTCCCTCAGTTATCTAGGTCGGTCCTTCGTGCATAGCGTGGCAGCAATAGATATTTATATTCGTAGAATATTTTAACATATTTACGTGTCAAAACGTTTAGTCCTGTTCATCACATTCTGTCCATTCTACTCAGTTACGATATGGGTCATTAATAATGTGTAATACTCAAGATACATACTGGTACATAATAATAAATAATGTACAATTGACATAATAATATACATTGTTATAATAAAAAAGATTATCGGAAAAGGTGTCGACCCAGTGAAAATTAAATTCTTCTTTTAGTAACAGAGCTGGTGACAAAAATCGGCCAGAGTTTTGTAATGGTTAATAATTCAATATGATATTGTGTACACTCTATATGATTCAGCACCCACTCGCAAGTTAAGGTAGTGAAATGTATGTCTACAAGTGTTTTAAAACAATTAAAAATTATCAGTTAGCTATTTCATAGTACAAAAAAAAACGTGAGAAAGTGTTCACATCGCATTGTTGTGGAACAAACATAAGTTGTCGTCATAGTCGTCGGTGCAATAGTTTTGTAATGGCTGAAAATTCATTTACTGCTTAGTTATTTTATATGATTTAAGAAAATATTAGTCAAACCACAGAAATATTGAACAGAGGTAGGCAGTGGTCACTTAAAGTGCGAATATAAATCGTGCGAGCGATTTATGTATATATATGTAAAACTCTTTTTGCCGATTTTTGGCGTCAGCTCTTAGACTATTTCGAACACCGAGTTAAGCTCGGACACTCCTGTCATTATTTTTTTACTAATAACGGCATATTAAAAGTACATTGCTGAAATTAAACCCTTCCATAGATTTACGCATAGGGGTAATATTTGCCAACATTTGGCCATCATCTGTTATGAGTAAAATGTACAGTACATTTAGTACTGAATTATTGATTTTTAACTAAGCATGCATTGTCTCATAATTTTAAGGAGGTAACGAATCTGGACGATTTGTACGAAGAAGAGGATAACGTTAGCCTTCATTCCGTGCATTGGGAGCTAGAAGAAGTCATGGGTATTTGTAAACGTTTGCAGCGAGGGACGCTGGTATCGTCCTACGATAAAATACTTTTAAGGCAAGTACATTTGTTATAGATGTAAAAAAAAATCAAATTTTATTTTGGTTATTGTAGGATATGTATATATGCATAAGAGCTACATCTTTTAGTGCCTCCATCTTCATTTTGCCATTGAAATTTTCTAACCCCAGCTTATACAATTCTGAAAATGTCAAGAAAAGATCGAATAGGCATTTAGTGGAATAAATTCTACAGATTATAATGCTATTGTGTTTATGATATTCTATTTTATCACTACTTATAATCAGTTTCGATCTTGGTCTATTATAGGCATACTAATTATTAAAAATATGACGGCTTATTACTCGCTCTCCTTGAGAACCCCATGAATATAGTTCTTTGGTTTTTGAGGTCTGAAAAATGCCATTTTTATTCTATATTATACACATCAGAATATGTCTTAGTTGATATGACATTTAATTTAATTATAACTTTTTTGACATTTACTTCAATATACATTTAAAAAAAGCAAGGAAAGACATGGAAAGTCATGCTGCATTTAACATATGATATGAGAAAACATTGATTAAACATATGATATGTGAAAAGTGGGCCAATTTCAGTGTAAACGTTACTTAAATCATAGGATTTATAGAACGTTCTTTGAACTGCTATGGTCCTTAGCGCCCATTCAGATCTCAACTCTTTAACTCCTAATTCTTGGCTGTTTTCAAGATAATCTCAAATAGGGTAACTATTTATACCCTTATGTCTAGCATATTATATGTATATAAAAATTGCTTGCAGGTTTTAGGATTTTTTTGTTTTTTTAAGATTGAAGGAGCAAAAGTATCAGTCCGAGCGCCTTATGATGCAGTTGGCTCAAAACAGCGTGAAGAGGGACGCGTTGATTGAAGATCGTAAACACGCTATATTAATGCTCGATTCGCTGAAAAATGTTGGTCAGGAGCGGACTGCACAGTAATTACTTCATTATTTTCATACAGAACATACAGAGATTCAAAAATATCTACAAAAACAACAAATAGAATTGTATACATTCACAGAAGTGAGTACATTCACACTTACGATGATTCCATGGAGTTAAAAAAATTGGCGTAACTCCTTAGTTTCCTAAAATGTTATTTTAATAAACGGACATATTACCCAGTATAAATATTTTCTTATAATTACAAGAAAACCCTGTAGTGGAACACCATAGGGTTTTAGTTGGTGCGAGTCCGACATAATCCGTCCTTGCATCCGCGCGTCGGGTATGCATAGGCACTTCTCTATATAAAAAAGATGTAATGCTGTCAAACTATCACACTAGCGTGGTAATTTAAAACTTATCATGAAAAGGTCACTATGAAAACTTTTCAAAAACAGAGCGACAGTCTTTGATGATGAAAGGCGGTATACCGTCAGGGCCCGCAGACCGCGTAGGCTTGCGGCGTGCGGGAGCGGTGTGGATGTAATTTTAATCCTACTTTCTTTATATTTTTAGACATGTAATAAAGTAATTAATAAATAAAGAAAAACATGTATATCGATTGTGATTCTTTCTAACATCAGGAACGAAATCATTATAGATAAAGATGTCACGTCTTGTGAAGTAACGTCACACGTAATACTACTACAACAGGGATGACATTTTTGAAGTAAATTAGAAGATACCTACAACGTGTATATTTGGCATAGTATAAAGAGACCAAAGATGGCCACTTGCCATTAAAAGCTCTACTCATAAATTACACGCAACATCTTCCAATAGTATTTTTCTTTTTGCCTTATTTAAAAATTAAATTAAAGAAAGCGAGACAAGCATATTGAGTCAATTTATGTAAAATTGTAGTTACTCTCTATGCATACAAATGTATGTAATTCGTCTCAGTGAAAACACCGTCACGCAATGCATGGAGCGAATCACACTAACTTTATTCGCAAAAACTTTTAAATTTTGCTGGTTAAAAGAAAACTTGGCATCGGCCAAACTTTCGGTTGGTTTTGGCCCATGGCTATATATTTGATCGAGATACCTTTTTCCGAGGGTGATAGAAACTGAAGTTTAAGTTGTACACTAAGTGTTACATTTAATACTGCAGGTACATACAAGAGAAAAGGCAGCTTAAAGCGGCGTTGGAGGCGGAACAGCGTGAAGAAAAGAACCTTATTGAAGCTCTGAACGAGAAGGGAAACCTAATAATTCAAATGAAAACTTCACTGCAGCAAATCAATCAGTTGCTGTCTTGCGTAGGTATGGGTATTTATAGCCTGAACGAGGATTGTTTGGCCTAGTAAGTCTAAGAATTGCTCGAATCTCAGCTATCGCTAACATATTTTAACATGTGTTTAGCATTCGCGGGTTATTTATCGTAGTTGCTCCGCCTCTGTCTCTTTGTTATTGCTTCTAGTATTAATTAAAATTGGTTTACAAAGGGTTTCATTGGTCTCAGATGAATTATAAATAACGATAGCTAAAAAAACCTTTGTAATTGCGCAAATTTTCCACCACCATTGGAAATTATTTGTCATAAACAAAACCGCACGGGAGAACATTAAAGTCCTACAAACCATATTTTGGAAACAGCGACCATTTTATAATAGAGACTAGCCGTCTGGGAAGGACAGGACGGACGTATGCACTCGTATGTTATAAAGTGTACGAGTTTATTGCCTTGTAATATGACGAAATAAGACAAATAAAACTTCGGCGAATTCTTCCGTGGATTCTTTTAATTGATAAATTCTGACGTAAACAAACCATAGAATAATATAATACACAATAGAATGGCTGTTAACCTTATTTTGTACCAAGATTGGTGTCGCCGGGAGCACGCATAGAAGCAATTACGTCCTATTATCACTACTACAAACCCGATTCGCTGTATTGACAAATTGAGTAAGAATTTACACAACTTTTGATTAATGTTTTTGACACATCAATATTTCTTTATTTTTGTTTCTAATATTTAAAAAATGTAAATAGGTTAGACTTACTGGTTGTAGGATATGTCTCCATTATATTCCTTTTCCCGCTGTTCTTTCGATACGTAATTATTGCATAATTTGCCATTTTTAAATAATTTGCATGCAGCGACACTTGACACGAACACGAACTTGTGTTGACATTTATAGGTGTGAATTGACATGTCAGTGGCTACACGGGCTCCGCTCACTCCCCCGTACTATTATGTATGTATCATAATATTCTATGAAACAAACACATAAGTTTGTAAATTCCATTGTCCATTTTTGCTTCCATTTCTTTTAAATTATTTCATTTGCTTCCATTATAAAAATGTAATAGCTTAAATGTGTTGTTATTATTTTAACCCTTCAATACTTATAAAAATCCTATGCAGTCGTATGCATCCGGCATATCCCGAGTGGTCGCATGCATCCGCACCCACCCACAGCATTTTAAACCTTTAAAACCTATATTTACTATTAAGACTACTTTTCTATGAAGAACATTGGCATTGTAAAATCTATATAAAATTCTCTACCCTGTGTTCTAAATAAAAGTCAGGTTTAACTTCATCCCAAAAAAGATTTTATTGTATTTTGATAACAAAAAACAATACATTCCAAGCGGATGTCGGCAGCGTGAAAATCACAATTAAATCAATATATATCGCTGTAAATTTCACAGTACGCGAGCAAACCGGGTTTGATCCCCGCCGGCACCAATGTAATTGTTAATTGCAATTTTAAGTGCTGATTTACCACGTGCTCGGCGGTAAAGGAAAGCATGTCCGAGAAATAAGAAAAAAAATTCGAAGACATGTGAAGTTCGCCAACACGTATTGGGGCAGCGCGGCGGACACTTCCTTGCCCTAAAACCCTCTCAGAAATGAGGGAAGGCCTGTGCCCAGCAGTGGGACGTATATAGGCTGTAACTTTACTTTTTATATATATATGTATATATATATATACATAACTGGAATTTATTTACGTTAAAAGATAAATTATATTCACACAAAAACTTTCATTACAATTTTGTAATATAACACTATACTAAAAAATTAGAAAAATCCAAAAATCAACACAATAACACTCACACGAAAATGGGTACAAAATGAACGTAGATTGTAAATAAATATCCATAGACTAACTTTTTATTCCACTAGAGGATAGAAAATTTCATATTGATTCTATAATGCCAAACTTCTTCATAGAAAAGTAGTCTCTAACCATAACTATTTATGGGTTAAAGTGCTGTGGGTGGGTGTGGTCACATTTGACCTCTTGAATTAATATTCATATAGTATATAATAATATGATGGTATACCTATATGGTGGCACTATCCTTAAAATTTACTGGAATAAGCCCCGCGAGAAGTATATAAATGACCAAAGCTTGTAGCTTTTTAACGTGCAAAAAAGCGATATGTAAATAAACACTAAGCATTTTTCTATACTTAGTTAAATGGTAATAAAGGTATAATATCCTGTGATCCGAATCATTTATTTAATCAACAGTTTCTGAAACATTATTTTTTTTTTACTTTCTTATAAGTAAAATAATAATATTTGAACAAAGCATGTTTTTTACCTCCTGAATTTTATGTCATGCCTTTCTTGTGTAAGGTGATGATATATTGTACAAAATTAAATCTACTTATGCACACATATAAATGAAATTAAAGTATCTGTCTGAAATATAGAAATAACTGACTTCTATAAAGCTCAGGGGGTAAATTAAATTTAAAACTTTACGAACAGAATATATATATATATAAATGCCAATGTTCTTCATAGAAAAGTAGTCTTTAAATATAGGATCATATATATATATATATATATATATATATATATATATATATATATATATATATATATATATATATAAATCATCAAATTCATCCAGAAGTGATCTAGGCCACATTTTATCCAAAAAACTTTAAAAAGATTATTTAATTAAACAAATGTCCTGATCTTACATCTCTATTTGATATATCCCATCCAGACAAAACCGGGTAGGTCTCTAGTTTGCAATAAATCATTATCATAATTATCAATAATCACCAGCATTTGTAACAGATGTACTTTTAAAATTTTTCCAGGAGCACCAAATGTACCAAGACAAACAACCCCCATGCCCGCAGCTATCCAGTATGCGCTGGATGATATTATTCAACCTGTCCCCCAAGTAGAGGAAGATTGTTAGTACCCGACAAATTTTAAAAAAAAGTTCAAGATATAAGTATGATATAAAATTTTTTGTTTTAGCCGATTAGAACTTCTACTTCTGTAATTAAAACTATATTATAGTGATTGTGAATACCAAACGCTAACAAAAAGCATGATAATATTATTAATTAATAAAACATTAATAATCATGTTTAGAATAATGTAGAAATAACCATAATATTAAAGAGGCTTAAACATAAAAAATAAAAAATATTTTTGAAGCAACAAAATAAAGCTGCATACAAAATTTATGTGTCAACTTACGGGACGAAAAAATGCAACAAATAAAATAATATAGCATTATGGTTTTAACATTGTAGTTTACTTTGAAAGCAATAAAGATGCCGTGTGATAATGTATAAATTATTGCAATATTACAATGCTAGTGGAAAAAATCTCATTCTAATTTGTGTCTCCAAAAGTTATCCAATGTGTTACTCCGATTCGATATGGGTTTGGTATGGGTAGATTTTTTGTTTTCAACATTAAACAACATTAGCGACATAATTTCGATGAAGCAATGCCGTAGGCTTACTGTCAAATGTACCGTACCGCAAACAATTGTAAATTCCATAATTTAGAGCACAAATTTCGGGCAGTGTATATGTGAATTCTACGTTAGAAGTACAAAGATATCGTTTACTATATCTATACTATCGATATCGTATGTCAAGTTTTATTAAGTAAATCGCGCATGATTTACGACCGTTATTCATTGTTGAGTTTTGAATTTTCGAGTGTGTTTGTTCCAGTTCGTTACGTGTGTTATGGTGTTTGTTATGTCACACACTGGAATGTTATAAAGGAGGCTGTTCACATAACTTAACCGACTACGGTGAAATGAAAAAGGTGTAATGTTATTCTGACGTACCTACATAAGAGTGGAGTGTTATACTATTCTGATTTATTATTACTAGTGGTCCCTCAGTAGCCGAACTAGGTCCGTTTTTAATTAAGAGATCGTCGTCTTTCGTCAACTTTTCCACTCGCACAGGACCATATTATAAAAAAAATGTTTAAATGATAAGAAGCATGTTTTTAAATTTTATTAATTGGCAAAATATAAATAAATTATTATTAAAAACACATTTTTAATGTGGCTTTATTATATCTGTATGCTGAGTTAATTAGATAAACACAAAAAGTTTTTTTTTAAATCATTACTTATTAAATTAATACTATATTATAGTTCGCCTATTGATTACATTAAAAAATAAATTTTTAATTTTCAATTTCTTCTTAAATATGGCTCTGTGCGAACGCGAATAGTGTCAAATGGGATAGCCCTTATAATTAAAAAAAAAACAGTAAAACAAAATTCTGTGATAAATGGTAATAATTACGGTATCTGTACTTATTCTAAACTGTAAACACGTATTTGTTAAATTTGTTATAGTTCTTTTATGAATAACATACTTTGATTAGTACCTACTGTTTTTTGTAAGCACATTATTTTGTTAAAGGCTTTAATTGTACTCTGTTGTGTTATTTTGGTATTTAGTTTCGCAAACATGAAAGATATGCATGGTCTCTCAGATGAAGTAAAAAAGGTAGATATCGCACCTAGAACAAGAAACTGTAACCAATTTTATTACTTTGTGTGAGTCAGAGAAGTGTTGCCACTTTTTTTCTAAAGTCCCTGAAAGTCGAGATACAATGCCACAACTACAAGAGTAATGTGCGATTCCTGTATATACTTATTATACTCTTTGATGTGCGATGCGAAAGCGAAAGTATATCTGTCTGTTTAAATAAATTGTAACTGACGTTCAAAAATGAAAATAAGAGTGTCTGTAGATCACTTAAAAGTCTTCTTGATAGATTGTCCAGTGAGCTTGTAAGCATCGATAAAATATACAACATATGTAATGTAAAACATGTTTATTATAAAAAATAACTTAATACTAAAAAGAACTAGTTGGCATTAAAAATAAATTTCCATGGAAATAAAAAATTTACTTTTCTAAATAAAAAAGGTATATTTCAGTAAATGCAAAATAGAAAAAACTACAGCCGGGGGCACAAAGGAGTGTTCTAATTTGTATCCCGGGTAGGAGAGATGTGAAGTATCAGCCGGAGAGGACACCTGAATCTCGGTTAAAAAGAGCAAGGCCGGCTTCGCCGTCTCCGGGTGGTAGTGGATAGCATTAATATTAGAATGAAGTGTCCTGATGTTGCAAAATTCACTGATAGCGTGACAGGAATCGCCTTATTCTTATTACTCCGCTTGCCCCTAACAGTTTTAGTCACGAGCAGAATTCCTTCCCCTCCTCCCCCAGAATACGCGGAGCAGCCTAAGCATCCACGGTCAGGAAGAGTAAAGTAGCTTGGTCGTGGATGTTCAGCGAGGGATTCTCCGTCACCAGGAGTGAGGGTACCTTTTTGGGGTAGTTTTTATTTGATTCCGCTACGATGATAAGGGGGAGGGGGAATTGGGCCTCCAGCCCAAGTGAAACGCAGAGGTAAACCTCTACTTCATGCAGGTATTATGTGAGGCATTATAACTATTTATTAGTAAATGTTAAAATGTTTCTGTTTAATTTTTATCAGTGGACAAACTGATATTGAACGCTCGCCAAAAGCTGAACGTTTTGATGCAAGCTGTATCGAAAATGGATGTGACAAAGGATATTCGCGAGCAGGCGTATCTTTTCTACCACAATATACTGGCAAGGTCCATGCGCGATAACTATATAGAGGAAGCAGTTATGGAAGGAGGTTGGTATACACTGATCTGTTAAAATTAATTTGATGTTTAAGGTAAAACTTTACGATTATGTAGTTGATGCGTATTAGTTAAATGGTTGAAGTCTATTGGCACCCGACTAGTAGTGTACTGTAAAAAATATAAAATTTCATCAAAAAATTAAAAGAATATTTGGCTATTAGTGTTCGGTACAAGCATTATTTTTTTCTAGCTTATTTATGATTCGTTAGCGTCATTCGTCTTTGTTATCCATGTCCCATTTGGTGTTTGTAAACGTTACCTACACACTAGGATTTGTTCCTGTATCCTGTTATTTTCTTTTAAATTGTAACAACCCAGTCCTTGTCTGCTATGTCCCACCGGATGGTGAGTGGTGATGTGACTTAGTTTAAGAAAAGCCTTTTCACTCTCACCTTGAAGACACTGATATTGTAGACAGTTGCTTGCAAATTATTCCATAAATAAATTGCACATTTTGCATTTTATTTCATTTATTTGGAACAATGGTTACACAATATAATCGATATGGACCAACATCCAGACTAAGAACAGTTATAAGCATGTCATGTAATATGTATGTTGGACAGCCTCGTTGGTCTAGTGGTTGTAGTAGTGCGACTGCTGATCATGAGGTCCAGGGTTCCAATCACGGGTTGGGCAAAAAAAAACAATTATTGAGTTTTTCCGTCAAGAAATTCTCAATAGCTGCCCGGGGTCAGGAAGTTGGCGGTGTCTCACCCCCGTGCTTCGGAAAGCACGTAAAGCTGTTGGTCCTGTGCCCGATCTCTCTCCGGTAGTGGGGTTTACCGTCCCATCGGATTATAAGAGTGAGGAAATGGAGAGTACACATGTACTTGCGCATACACTTGGGCACTATAATCCTGCGCTGATGGCTACCTCCGTTGAGGCAGGCCGCCGTGATCGAAATTCGGTCTGGAGGACATAATAATAATATGTATGTGTGCTTATTCCGTTCGGTTTCGGCCCCGCAGCTAAATGATTACCCACAACGCCTAGGCCGATAATTATATGTCTCTGGTACATCTTATTTCAACTCTATTTCTGACGTTTCCAAATTAGCATTATGTCGAAAATAAATACAACGAATGAGTTAGAACAAACAGCTCGCAAATCATTATACCACGTGGTAAAGCCACGCTGCAGTTAAATAATAGTTGTAGCACGAATGGGTCGGCTCGACCTGGGCAGGACCACGCTTTTACAGAATACCAGCGTGAAATAGCAGCTCCATGCTGCTGTGTTTTGTATGGTAAGTGTGGAGAGAGAACCGGAGACTCCTTTTACTGGAAACGAGCCATTCCATCTTGGTCCTCACGGGTGACAACGCATCTGCATTTTGATTTGTGATCGAGGATAAATGAAGATCTCTATATACCATAGCAACCACTTACCATCAGGTGTACTTTGTGCTCGTTTGTCACCGTATGCTATAAAAAAATAACGAGCGGTGTTTTCACGTATTAAGTTATAGCGCATTTCCTATTTTGTGATGACTTCCGATAGAAAGTTGCCACCATGGTCGAAATAGAACATCATTATCATGTCAGAGCTATTATATTATATAATACGATTCCCGATCTTTACATACTTCTTTCTCTAATTTGTATATATCAGGGCTAATCGAGTTTGAAATCGAGGACCCGAATGTGCCAAGTCACGCCATCATTAAACTGCGCAGCAAGCAATTGGTGGAGGCACAAGTCAGCGAGTTCGATGTACCTGATTATCCTGCTAAAAAGTAAATCTGCTTATGGAATATTTCATTACAAACTATGTAATACTTTTAACCACTCACAAAAATAACAGGGATTACTATAATGTCAAATTCATAACAATTTAAAAAATTGACTTGTATTTCGTAAAAAAAATTTAAGCACAGGTTAATTCGGTTATCTACTTCTTTTGTAATATATTAATTATGTTTCTTTGATTTCCAATGATTATTATGAAGATCAAGATGGTTTCATTATCATTAGACCTTTATTTTTTGGATGTATTGAATTTATTATAATAAATCATTTGGAATAAATAATACAAATATCATTGTTTTAATGTGCGTTTACATCCACCACTTAAGTACATGTAAATTAATAAGTTGAACATTTACTGTTTCTCAATTTATTCATTGTTTTTGGTTCCTAATTAGTTGAAGAAAGGGTTAGTTTTGATGATCAAATGGAATACAAATTTTCTTTCATTTTTACCCTAAGTTCTAAAATAAATTTCACCCCTTACAAAATTATATGATATGAAATAAAACTGTAGGATTTTGCTTTAATAAATTTATTATCAAATAACTTAACTTTGCGTTTCAAGTAAACTTTTCAAGACCTTTAATATCGTTTTACTCAAGTTATAAGGTATATCCACCGTGTAATATTAACTCTAACAGCAATATCAGTTGGTTTATCCTTATTAAATGTAAAATAGTAAAATAGGTTTTTGATCAATAATATCCGTAGCTAAAGAATAAAGCACTAATTTTGTTTTTACTATATAATATACTATACTTATAAAAGATAGTAACAAGCAAATTAGCCAGTTCAATTTAAGCAAAGTTACTTTCAGTGCAAAGAAAATTAACTGTTTCCGTATAAAATTAATACCCGGGAACGAAATAAAAATATTCTATTATATTTTAGGAGCGACTTCAATTATTTTCGCAATTAAACAAATCATTCATCAAGCGTTGCAACAAATGAACGTGGATAAAATGTAAATCCTTCGAATAGTATTAAAGTAGTCAAAAAATAATTTGCTAATATCTATGTTCTTTAAACTGGGACACATTTTATGCTATTACGCGAATCTTAGGAAATTAATTTTTGACAACTTTAATGCAATTGATTTCCGCAAAGTAACGCCTGATTCTATTAATAGTCCTTCGAACAAAGATTTAAATCTTCACAGAGGCAGATAAGTACAAATTATCCTTATAACGTGTATCGAAATAATTTTTTTTGAATATAAAGTACATTCCTAAACTTAATTATCGTAGTAAACGATCTAGTGCTTATAGCTTACGTATTCCTTTAAATTTTGTTTGTAAAATGCAAAAACCAAGTTTAATACTATTCTATTGAACACAATTCACAAAGCATAAAGGCACTTTAAGTAGAAGCGTTTGTTTTGTACTTCTAGTGAATGAAGTGGATTGCGAATAGGTACATGACGTATTAGTTGACTTTTCAACATGGTCACGCATGAGGTTCGACCTCAACAGCCAGTACGGGAGTAGGTTGGAAAGAACGCCAGATGCTGATTAACGCGGTGTAGGTACCAGCTAGAAGGCCAACGATGCCGATGATAAAAAGCAACGCGTCTTTCACCAGAAGCATGGGTGGTTTGCGAGGGTACTCTAGGAATGCTTCCATGATGGCCGGAAAGCAGATACCGAGGGCGGATAAACAAAGTGCGCCAAACAGCGAGATGAACAATCCAAGTCGAGGCACCGTCACCGCCAATATGACTGTAAATAAACAAATTAATTTATTTTAACCATTTTATTTTACCAAGACTAGCGAAGTATACCCCCTAGATGGAGTGACGACTTTTTAAAAAATGTAGGAATTCGATGAATGGAAGTGGCTCATCACCGTACTTTAATGTGTTCTTAGGAGAAGGCCTATTCAACAGTGGACTTATGATAGGCATGAATGATTACGACGATGATGATTATATTTCTTATTATCATTGTATTCATATTGATTTCTTTCTATTGATTGATCCTTCATATTGATTAATAATAATAATAATCTTTATTGATAAACATATTACATGCACAAAATGTACAGTGGTCATTATCCCCTAAACTAGGATATAATACCTGTATTTCAGGGGGATTGACTTCTTAGTATTAATGTTTTGTAGGTGGTAGTGCCACGCTGCAACTATATTATGGTTGTGGCTCGCATGGGTCGGCTGAACCAGGGTGGGACTACGTTCTCACAGAATACCAGCGTGAAATAGCAGCTTAATGCTACGATGTTTCGTATGGTGAGCATAGAGAACCGTTGGAAACGAGGCATTCCATTTTAGTCCTCACGGGTGACAACGCATCTGTATCTTGATTCTTAATCGAGGATAAATGTGGATGTCGATGGGCCGCATCCACAGCATCCACTTACCACCAGGTGGACTGTGTGCTCGTTTGTCACTTTATTTTTAAAAAAACAGAGAGTAATTGAGACGAGAATAAACGAGAATAAAATATTGTTTGTAAGGGATTCCTACTCAAATAAAACAAAAAAAGCAATATGAGAGATTACCTACTGTTCCCATTTCTAAGAAATGGAGCTAATAGTCCACCGGGCTGCTTCAGTGTTATTTTATCTTTAGACATTCTAGATTTGAAAATGCTGTCACAAATCAGCATCTTAAAATTGTAATTAAAATTTTATTGATGTTAGCGGGGTATGAACTCGGGTTGCTCCCACTCCCGGGTACTGTGGAATTTAGGGCGAATGCGCAGCCCTTTAGCTAGCACACCTTCCATTACACTAATTTTCAACATCCGTAAGAGGCTGCGAAATATATTTATGTGAGGTTGAGCTCCATTTGCAGACTTATGCATGTTGAATATAATGTAATATATAAAATAAATAACTTAATCTTTTATACAGCTCTTATACAGGTTTAAGTTTTAGATAAGATTCAAAGTTTTATTTTACATGAGACTTACATGTAAGAAGGCAAAGCGCAACACGGAGCGTATATTCCCACAAGCGTAGGCGTCTTGACCCGGATTCTTCAAGCCATGGTAAGAGGTAGCCTTTCCAGAGCACCTCAACAGGCACGTAGCAGTGCAGTCCGTAGCTAATGAAGATCGCTATCGCAAACATCACTATCACAGCAGTCGCTAATCTGTGGGAAAACGCTCATACTTACAAAGTATTAAGAACTGTAAATGTACAAGGATTTACTGTAAGAAAGCGAGTATTGAAGTATATATTTCTGAATTAAATAGATACAATAAGCTTTGGTATGTTCCCGCTTTTAGAAGAATTTGCAAATCACTAGCTTTCATAATAAAAAATTTCACACTATTTTAAGATCACAACTCTTAATTATTCGTTACTTGTATAATTCACTGACACATCGTAAACAGTTTAAAAGCTGGATTCAGAAGCTGGAGCTACAAGCTGTAGTATCCTATTTCTTTCCCTCATGTATTGGAATTTCCAAATTTCTTTCTTAGTGGGTATCTATTTCGAGAATGGACTAATAACTAAAATGCCCTATATAGTAATCAGGTTATTGTATGTAATATAAAAATTTTACAATGTATAATATTAGACATTTTAATTTCGGTACCTAATATATACTTTTTATTACCTTCAAATATCTATTTCTTTTAGGAGTACCAGGAAAAATAAGCTGAAGATTATAATAGAGGCACAGATAAAATATGTAGGTGATTGAGCAAATGTCGCATTGCGTACCTCACTACAGACTAAATATTTACTACGTAACCTAACTGTTGGGAATCGTGCTACCGTCACCGTGGCGCCGTGCCGCCGTGGACTTTGTACTACGCTATTATACTTCAATAATCACGAGGAATGCGATTCACTGCATAAGAATTGATTCTATCTCTATCATATAATAAAATTATAGTGAATCAGAAACTAGTTCACCGTTTAAATAAAACTACGGCTACCCCTAGATCTTGTGTAGTGTTCGCGTAAATATAAGATCGTTAGTTCACCGTTTGTTGCTATGTCGTAACAGACTCAGAAAATGTACTGCTTTACATACGATTGTAGGACAAAGTTACACGAAGGCAGCCGTTATTGATTCACAGAATAACATAGTGAAAATATCCACCTATGAATAAACGACTACTACAGATTACTTGCAACCTCCTTATAAAGAAGACTACAAATGCGTTGACATTTTGAGGAATGAAATGGAATGCTACACATCCTGCCAACCTATACTTTTCAAATCGGAACAAAATAATACCCAGACCCTTAAGTAACCCAGAGGGACTCCTTATTCCTTCTTTTTAATTAATTTCTTATATACGCCATGAAATTAAATTTATAGGTACTATAAATGAATTACTGATAATATATTTCTTCTTTCTTTCTTGTCATAAATAAGCATTGTAAGCATTTCTGGCACTACAAAGATGATTTATCGAAACATCGTACTGATGATTGCACTGCTAAAAGTCTCGCGTTACTTTCTCTCTTACCACTCGTTACTCTCTTACCACTGCTTCCCGTCGGAGTGGACATTTATTTGGTCTACATCTGGTAAGAACACGAGATGGGGCCACAAGATCTTTGGGATTTCTCTAAGTCACCCCCTACGAAACTCACATTAAGAGATTAGGCCAGTTACTATACTATTTGTTCGAGATGGAATAATGGATTTTCTTATGCTAACACTGAACATTTGTTTGAAATTAGTGTAGTATATATGGGAATACTGACGGATCACCCTTCGGCAAGTCTAGTGTGATTGAGTCACTGCAATTTGATACGCAGAACACGTAGCCCAATGCACCGACTGTCACGTAGAGCAGCACTATAAAAGTCATGCCGGTGTTCAGTACTCCGCATGGACGCCCGAACGACTTAGGAGTCTTCATATTGTTCTCTAACACGATCACCTGCATAAATATGAATGTTATATGATTTTTTTTATATTAAAAAGACAGTTTCAAGTGCATTACGAGATTAACGCCGAAATGAATGATTCAATCGTTGTAATTAGTGTTTTTATTTTATTATAATAACTTTGCTTGTGATAAATGCGGTAACTATCATTATTTTGCTATTGATTATAAAGAGTATGCAATTTGCGCTTAAGCTATAAATTTTAAAAAAATGTTTGGAAGTCACGGCATGCGCTATAACAGTGTAGTAAATATTTATTGTTCTGTAAATATACATGTTACTTTCGCAATCGCCCATGCTAGTTCGCAGACATCAAAATACCGCATAGCTTTTACAAAAAACATCGCAGGTTAAAAGCTATTTAACAAATATATTAATAATATAAACTTACAACTCCCACAGCGGTTAACGCGAACAATATGGTTCCAAAGAATAATGGGAAAGTTTCCGCAGAGCCCCACAGGTCCAATGGCTCTGTAGACTTCTGTCCAGTGACTACAAAATAGATCACAATCCCAAGGCCCACCAAGGTCATCACATTTGCTAATGCTGAGAATGGTGCTAATAGTTTGAGGGTGGGAATCAAGTTAAAAGCGATCAAAGGCCCCAGTATGATCAACATGTGAATTTCAACGGCCATTTCATAGTGAGGATCGCAGACCTGTGAACATACATTGCCATAGAGTTATTACGCTTACTCTAAGACGTATTGCTATTTATGTAACTTGTAAATAAATTTGCAATACGAGTTTCGTTTAGGATTTTCATAGTCCGGCTAGGGTGAAAGGTGAAATTAAAATTAATAAATCCTTTTTACGTACCATTAAAGTTATTCTAATGTTCTATTTTTAAATAACGGGGCTTGAATATTTTTAGCCTATATTATTATAACACGAGGTATTCATTCGTTAATAATTGGTGTTGCGCAAATATATAAATTGGACGTTTATTTACCTTGACTCCAAAAATTTTGAGCATAAATATTAGATAGTTCCTAGAAAACCTACCTGCATCGTACATATTGACATTCAATACTAACAATATGGTAAGGGACAAGTCCCGGTTAATTAATGTTCTCATAGCCGAATTTCAGTAAAGGCAGCTAGTTTCAACGAAGACTAATCTTCTGCGCAGGATATGATGAAAGTCCACAAGTACCTGCACAAGTACGATAAGACCGGAGAGAAATCAGGTGACATACCAACGGCGTTAAGTGCGTTCCAAGGCATGGGCGTAAAACACCGCCAACTTGCTGACTTCGCGCTGCTACTGAATATATATTGACAGGAGAACCCAATAACTGATTTTGGCCCGAGCCAGGATTCAAACCCGGGACTATCAGCAGGATCGCCCACTATATCAACGAAGCAAATAAACAGGTACCTTTTATGTTAGTAAATTACACAATGGCAGAATTGCGTAAATGTTGCACAATATGTTATCACGTGTAAAGCCGCATGGCGTCAGATGATGAATATTGACGTATTTAATCTGATGACTGAGGACGATCGCTGACCCTGCTCCGCCAACGCCCGCCCACTTAACCAATTGCAAAGTTGGCTCGTAGGTCTAATATGGCATATCCTCCTCGCTTCCGCACGAAGCGAACGGAAATTCACCACTCGAATTGAGGATATATGTTACATCACGCTTTAATTACTTAACGATTGTTATGCTATATAATAATTATGTTTTGATTTTGATATTTTTCTACAAAATAGTTTTTATTCAATTACTTTCATTGGGGTGGTATATAAGTGTTTTTCAAACTTTAATGGTATTCCCTATACCCCTATTGTCTATCCGTTCCTGATTAATAAACGCCGCAATGTCAAAAACACAGGTACTATTATTCAAAACCGGAAAAGTATCAATTTCTGAAAGCAATTTGTAATTTTGTATATTTGAGCACTCCGTGTTAGCGTTATAGAAGGCAGGTACACTAACAATGAGGCCGTCAACAAATACACAAATATGAATGGGACAAAAACACCGATCGATATAAGGACTTGTAAATAACACTGAGATATCTTCGAATTATTACGTTAACGTTTACGTGGTAGAGTCACGCATCAGCTATATTGTGGTTGTAGCACGAATGGGTCGGCTCAACCGGGGTAGGATCACGCTCTTACAGAATACCAACGTAATGCTGCAGTGTTTCATATGAATATAGAAAACCGGAGACCTTTTTTACTGGAGATGAGGCATTCCATCTTAGCCCTTAGTGCTAAACACATCTGAGTTTTGATTCTTAATCGAGGATAAATGTGATGTTTATGAGTCACAGCACCATTTGAATATCAGCGTAAAATAGTAACTAAGCTACTATGCTGCTGTGTTTCGTATGGTGAGTGTAGAGAACCGGAGACCCTTTTTACAGGAAACGAGACATTCCATCTTATTCCTCACGGGTGACAACGCATCTGCATTTTGATTCGTAATCGAGGATAGATGTAGATGTCTATGGGCCGCAGCAACCACTTACCATCAGATGGACTGCGTGCTGATTTGTCACCCTATCCTATAAAAAAAATTACCATCAGGTTGGCTGTGTGCTCGTGCACGCACCTTTATTCTATAAAAAAAAGTTAATAATGTAATATGAAATGAATGTTATAAAAGACAAGAACGAATATCTGAAAATTACGCTTTTAATAAAAAATTAAAGCAGAACTAAAAGGAATATAGTAATTTACACTTAACGGCTTCTGAAATAGGTGCTAACACATAATGTACTATAGAAGAATCAAAGGCGCGAATTCAAAAGCTTTCCTGTGCCAATCATTTTATTCTTTTATCTATTATTTTACCTTTGTAGTTGGCTCTAACTATTTACAAAAAAATAATTTTTGACGCTTTTGAGTGAACTTAGGAATATCTCAAGGTACGCTAGAACGTGGTCTAAGCATTTACATTAAAAACTCCCCGTTTCTCCCTCTAAAGGGTGAATAATATTCTACAAATTTATATGGAAATACCTCAGAAGTATATTCGTATTTAACAAAAAAAAAGGATAATTAAAATCGGTACAATTAACGAACATATTCTAAATATAACAACAAACATATTGTAAATATTTAATAAACATACAAAAAAGAACATACTGTCAAATTGACAACCTCGTCCTTTGTCGGCTAAATACATGTTTGAAAACATTTTTTTTTTGTAACTTTAAATTCCAAATACTCATTTTTTTAAACGTTACCCCCCACACTAGGATTTCCTCCTGTATCGTGGAGGCAGTTTACAAACATAAATTGCATAAGGATAAACATCTAGACACGGAACAATTATTCATAGGCAATACAAATATTTGTTCCGTGCGGGATCGAACCCGCGGCCCCTAGCGCAGGCACACATTGCTAAGCCCCTGCGCCATCAATGGAACTACTACTTGATGAAAATAACTCACACCTTTTTGATGTTATCAGCAATAAAAACAATATACACGCAGCATATTCCCAGTTGGTAGACCACAAGAAATACGTCGACGGTGACAGCGCAAGGTCTGGCTAAGCTTCGAAATGATGGAGGTCCATTACTGAACGCAGTGGACGCTGCTGCAGGGTAGGAGAGCAAAGGTACTCGAAGCTTTTTACAGGCAACATATTGTGACCGCACCTGTAGAAACAACATTAAGTCAATTTTTATTTTCCAAATTTCAACATATTCAATTGAGGTCTAAATCGTACGATCTTACAGTTTTCGCAAGATTTCGCGAATAAATGGGTGCCTGTACTCGTTTTTGCGTCTCTTCGTTCTATCTTTCTATATCAAGGGCTACGAAATTACAACGCAAATGTCAAGCATAAATTGTAATATTGATTGCAAATCAATCGCTCGACGCATAATTGCACAATGTGCGTCATATTGATCAATCTGCTGTTTTTAAGTAGGTACTTACAAAATATAAAATCGAAATTGCATTCATGTGACCACAAAATATAAATAAGCTTCTTAAAGAGGGAGCGTTATTATAATTACAAAAAAAAATACAAAAAAAATATTCATCCGTTCGTCTTGTCCGATTGATTTTGTGTAAAATTATTTGATGAAATAATTTTTAATTGGCTCAAAGATAGTTATAAATATAAATATTCATATATTTGTATACTTATTTATATATTTTGTGGAGATAATAGTTCCGGGGAAAATAAAAAAAATATTCAAAGTGTTATAACAAAGTATATTACCACAGACAGTTTTTTTTCGATTTATTAACTCATGTTATATTTAAGGCTTTATTATTTATATGTGCTGGGTAATTATTCACATAATAAATGATCATCAAGATATTGGTTTTATAGGGAGGATTAATTTACATATTCCTATAACCGTTTTCTGAATAAATATTTCTAATTTAGCTTTATTTCGAATTCCTTTTTAGCTGGATTTTATTCTAAGGATTTAATTTTAGAAAAAATAAGAATAAGAAATTTAATTATATTATTTTTATACTATTTTTTTACAGGTTTAACAATATTTTATATGATTCGCTTATTAACATTTTTAGTAATTAACGATTATAATTTATTTTTATTTATGATTTATATGATGAGGATTTATGTTATATAAAAAAATATATTTTGATTATTATTTATAAGTTTAATTACTGGAAGATTTTTAATAGGAAAAAAAATTTATTATCCTTATATAATTTAATATGAAAACGATAGTTGTTTATGTTAGATTAATAGGTTTATTATATATATTTTAATAACATAATTTAAGATTTTTTTATCTTTAATATGATTTATACCAAATTTATCTACATATGGCTGGCTTCCTAGTGCCAGCTCCTTCCATTTGACCACATCCAGCGCAGAGCGGCTCGAATCGTTGACGACCGAGTTTTCTCCGATTGGCTCGATACACTGGCACTGCAAAGAGATGTTACATCTCTTTGCATTTTCTATCTACTGCGGGGAGTGCTCTGATAAATTGTTCGAATTAATTCCAGCCGCCAAATTTGACAAACGCACATCGTGACAAAACTCTCGTTACTATCCACACCATCTGGATGCTTGGCGGTCCACGAATGTACGTTTTACTAGAAGTTTTATTCCTCGTACGACTCCTCTGTGGAATCATTTACCATCGCCGATTTTTCCGACCGATACGACTAAGGAGTAAGCTCTTTTCTTAAAAAGTGCGGCAAAGCTCTTTTCTAAAAGGCCGGCAACGCACCTGCAATTCCCCTGGTGTTGCATTTGTTCATGCTCGTCTGCCCACTCTTCCACTCGTATAAAAAAATGAAAGGAAATCAAGTTACAAGTACGCATTCATGGACCAATGGAGATCGGGAAAATACAAATCGAATGCGTCCTGCAAAATCTCCTCTAAATTGATTTCTTTTGATCATTTCGAAGTTTTATTTTAATAATATAATAAGTGTACAACTGTAGAATATAGCATGCCTACTTCAATATAACTTCATCCGATCATGAAAAATATAATACTGACGTGGGTAATAATATTTTTAATAATTTAAAATAAATAATTTTTATATATACTTAGTGTTACTACAGAAGAATGCTTTTAAAATTAATTATTTGCTAATATGGATTATTTAATAAATTTATTGTGTATATTCTCTTTTTTTGTATTATTTATTTGTTTATAATATATTTGTTGAGGATAGCAGCAATGGGTAAAGTTTAAAATGTTATGAATAGTTTTTAAGTACGTTTTATATCACTTTTAGTGTCCCATTTTAACACTATTTGATTGTTTGGCTCCCAACGGATCTATTGCGAGACTTTAATTGACAGTATTTTGAAATAGGTTGTATCCGCTTCCATCACTGACTAACGTACTAGCATGCCCGGGATTTATAATGCGGAACAAAAACAATATATATTATTCAATACAATAAATTTTAAAAATTTTAAAAAGTTAGAAAATTAATAGTTACTTTAAAAATCGTACCATACCTTTTATTTTTGCTTTTAACTTTTATTTTCTGATGCAATGTATGCCTTATCTCTATGCATGTTGGCGGACTTCATTGTATATTCTTAAATTTTTATTTTTATTTTTATTTTTTACAAATACAGGTTTTTCATAATGTCAACAAACATTACTATTTATACAATAAGTTGTTTATAGTATTTTAAGTGTATACCGTCGTGTAGTATGTCTGAACGATTTGTTTATTTATTCTTATAAATTAAAAGTGAAAACGAGCACACACTCCACTTCATCACACACGCTTACGTCTGTCTTCGATTAAGAATGAAAATTTACATATTATATATTTGACGATGAAAAACCTCGTTACTGATAAAAATAGTTGCTTATTCTCACTCGTCATACAAAATACAGCAATACTATGCATGCATGGTTCTTTCCCGGTCGACTTGACCTATTCGTACTACTGCTAAGTCTTTGTTCGACCACGTAAAATACTGAGTAAAAAACACATGTTGATAAACTGAGTATTATATTAACTTCTTGACTTGATAGGCTTCGTGACGCACGAAGCCCTGAAGTGGGTGCTACCTTCGTGAGATTGTGATATGTGATAGTCCATCTCCCGTTTCAGTATACTTCTGTCGCCTCAGACAGCCATGGGATGATATGGGGTATGGTAGTGGATACTCTTACGCTGCCACTACCTGAGGAACTTAGTTAAAATTAAACAGCGAACTTACTTGAAATTAAACGCGTAATAAACCTTAAGTATAAACTAATGATGTACTTAGTGAGAAGTAAAAAGACAAAGTAAGGAAGAGAAAAGATCGGGTTTGGCACTATAAACTCACATATCGTTATGTGGGTTTTTAGTCTAAAACCCCATCTTTTATGAGGACTTAGAAGATACATAAAGTAGTTCACGTACAAGGACATGAAGACAGTGTGTGATGAGGATTCCAACGAGAACTGTAGATATGATGCCGGTAATCAAGCCCGCGCGGGCGAACGCCTGCGGCATTGCAAGTATTCCGGTACCTAGACTACACTTGAGCAAGTGCACGAGAGTCTCGAAGTCACTGTAATGATAAGCTGATTTTATTATTTACGCTATAGATGTCAACAAAAATGATATTATAATTTAAATTTTGTATCACATTTAATTAAATAAATTAAAAAAATTGACTGCCGCGTGGGTCTAGTGGTTGTAGTAGTGCGAATGATGATCATGAGGCCCTGGGTTCGAATCCCGGGTCGGGCCAACAAAATCAATTATTGAGTTTTTCCGTCAAGAAATTCTCAGTAGCTGCCCGGAGTCAGGAAGTTGGCGGTGTCTCACCCCCGTGCTGTTGGTTCTGCGTCTGATCTCTCTCCGGTCGTGTCGGTTTACCGTCCCATCGGATTATGAGAGTGAGTGAATAGAGAGTGCACCTGTGCTTGCGCATACACTTGGGCACTATAATTCTGTCCTGCGTCGATGGCTAGCCTCCGTTGAGGCAGGCCGCCGTGGCTGAAATTCGGTCTGGGAACATTAATTAAATAAAACTTAATATTATGTAAGTTTCACTATGGACTAGGCAAATGTCAATCGATCTGATCTAGAGCGAATTATCGAACTTCAAACTTTAATCAGTTTTAAAATCATTTTTGTCTTCATTGAGGTTGTAATTTTTACAACAAATATTATGAAATTGTTTAACATGATTAAAAAGTATTTTTTTAATAATTAAGCAACGAACTTACTTTGTGGGTTTCTCTAGCTGTCGATGAAGGTGTGGGTCATAATCTTCTGCGTTGTTTTCTCTATAAAATAACAAACTGTTTAAGTGAGGTGAAATTTATTTTATTATACTTGTAACCACGAGGAGTCAACAAAGTCTATATTTTATTTTTTTAAGAATTTACATTTACAATACACATATGTTCGAGGGGCGTTCCACGTATTCTTATAGATTCATTATTGTTATTGGTATGTTAGAAAAAAGATAAAATTATATAATATTTTTTTATTTTTCAATATAATATCCCACGACATTAGTATATATACTTAATCGTGAATAAAGCTTTTCGATTCTACATTATTGGAAAATTATTCTTCGTCTTAGCTTGAAAAATGCTCATTTACCGCATACTGGAGCTCATTATCGTCAGCAAATCGCTTTCCCCGAAGGTCTTTTTTAAGTTTGGGAATAAAAAGTTGTCACTAGGAACTAGATCTAGGCTGTATGGGTACGGATAGATTAGCTAACATCTTAATTCTTACTCATGCATCTTCTAATACAAGTTTTTCAGTAATTTTCTCAATTTCTTCTGTAGCCGCTGTGGTTGGCCCACCTGTGCGAGGTCGTCTCCGATGCTTTCCCTGCCTCTTTTGAATTTACTTGACCACTTACGGCGACCACTGTACGGTTGACATTGAAGAAGCAGAGTCTTGGTAAATGGTCACCATTTCTTCATGGATGTTTTTTGAGTTTTTCCTTGTTTAGTGAAGAATTTAATCTAAATACAATACAATACTGTTGCGCGGCTAAATTGACATCTGGCACAAGCGCCATCTAGTGTCGGGTAAAGGAGCGAGGGGGAGAGCTTTCCAAAAATGACATCACTAATCTTTCAACCGACAGCGCCATCTGTTGTCGAACGGAAGAACTAAGCTTCTGGAAACTGACTCTCGAACTTTCGGCGCTTTGTCGATTGGTACGCATATTTACTTGAATGTTCTGGATGTTTCGGTGCTAACGTGTATTTATAGGCGCTGCAAGGTGCGATCGGGGAAGTATTGAATTTGGCGAGACAAGCGAATCTTCGGAGCGGAATAAAGTGAATCAGTGTGATTAATTATTAGTGTTTTAAGTTTAAATTTGTGTAAAGAAAATTAAAGTGTTAATTTAGGTAATTTTATCGGCAAGTTTTATTGTCACGAACCTCAAGCTCGTAACAATACTATTAAATACAATACTATTCATATTCCTATCTCTATTCCTATTTCTGGGTTGGGGCTTCCCAGTGCCCAGCTCTTTCCATTTAATCGCATCAAGCACAGACAGGTTCGATTCCTCGACGACACGGTTTTTTTCTGATCTGCTTGAGTCACTGGCATTGATGTTGCATCTCTTTGCGTATTTTATTGCATCTACCACGATGATTTGCGGTCTATCACTGTTCAATTTAGAAGAAGTTTTCTTCCTCGCACAATTTCCCACCAGTGATTTTTACGGACCGAGACGACTTAGGGAACTTTAGGAGCCTACTCTTTTTTACGCATCTGCAATTCCCCTGTTCATGGGCGGCGGTAGTCACTTACAACAGGTGAGCCGCATGTTCGTCTGCCCCCGCTCCTATAAAAAAATCACCATAATACATATAATATATTGAACGCCTCTCGTTAATGGACTTCTTAAGTAAAATAATTGTTATAAAAACACACTTTTTACGCTCTCTGATATGCATAACAATTACAAGCGTACAACCCTCACAGTTAGTGTCAAGCAGTTTTAATTTAGGATGTTGTAATACGTCCATTTCAGCCTATCAAAATCCACTGTCTTCTCCATAGATTGCGACATAAGGTGGTCATTTGCCATTATTTCCAACTTGGCAGGCGTATTAGCAACCGCATTTTTTTATTTTATAGTTGTTATTACGGAGACGCTGCTGACAATCTCCTGCTTGATTTTCTCTGTCGCCTATTACGACTCTCACGGTACGATATTGAGTAGTTCATATTCTTATGGACGACACACGCGGTCAGTTCAACTGATCAATCCAACTGATCAGTTCAAACTAGGACTATTGATATTTTTTAGAATATCAGATTTTCGATATATCGATAAATAAACTTAGATATAAAACTATAATGTTGATATAACTATTTATAATTATTGATATATCGAAAATCCGATATTTAAAAAAAATCCTAAAACCTTAAAATCCAGTCCTAATTTAAACTGATCAGTTGCACTGACCGTGTGGCGACGATTATACTGCCACTAAAGGATAAGTTGTAATACATATGATGTAGTTATATACATATATTATGTTAAAATTCATATTAGAAAAATACACATAATAGGTATAGTTAGTTGTACTGATTTAGTAGTAGTAAATAAATATTTAAATAAATAAGTAAAATTAAAGTAAATTGATTCCATTCATAACACCGAACAGAATACTAACTAGCAGTAGCTGCCAGTAGTTAAGAAGTTGGTAATGTTTCACCCCCGAGCTACGGAAAGCATGTAAAGTCCTAATGTGCAGCTCTAATAGCAGTATTGTTAACATGTGATTCAAAGATTAACTTTCTATCAATAGTATAGTTATTCTATTTCACGATGAAGTTTTGACTTTGCTCGTTGTTTATCGTGCACATACATATTGTGTTAGTGTGCGTAGGTTTCGGGAGCGCTCAGTCACACTCGCCAGTCGAACGAATCGCATTTACACACACAAACGCGCCTGTCGGTACACGTCACTACTACAATCAAGGCGAAACCTTCATCGTAAAATAGAATAACTACAACTCTGTAAGTCTTCTATCTTCGGTAACTCTTGCAATAATAAATTACTGATTGAGTAACTAGAGGCAAGCGGTTTCTTACTATTGGCGTCATAGCATTTAATATCCGACGACTGATCTGGGTTTTAATTGCTTTTTTTTTAATTTCCTGATTATTGTTGAAGTATTTATTGAATAGGCCTTTAGACGACATTATGGTTACTTAAAATATCATAGACTGCTTTGTAAGATCTGATATACACCGCTACCGTTAGATCCTATCAAAATCCACCGCTGAATATAAGCCTCCCCCACAGATTGCCTCATAGGGGGGATATTTGCCGAGCATAGCTAGTTCGTAGTTTTTTATTTTTAGTCGTTATTAGGAAGATACTACTGCCCATCTCCTGATTTGTTTATGGCGTCGTAAAAGGCGACAGAGGCGCCTCTTAGGATACCAAAGGGATGGTAATATCAATATGATAATATCCATTGCCCCATATTATGGGGTAATAGGCATTATTACTCCGCCACTACGTGGTATATACCAGATATAAAATATATAGAACGACGACCACGATGCGGAGCAACCTCAAAGGTCCAAATGATTTCCTTACGGCTTCATTAGATCATTTCAGTTGAGTGAACATAGAAGTACAGTACAACTGCACAATAAACCAATTTGAGAAACTTTATTTAAGAACTACCGTGGCTACTGGATGGGATCTATTAACGTATTTAGTTAATAATCAAGACCATTTTTTTTTCGAACAAAATCTTCAAACTTTTCCCAAAAATATAATCCTGGATCTGGCTCGTAAAGTTTCGGTTGAACCATTCTAAAAATTAGACCGAACGGACTTACAGATAAACAGATTAAAAAATTATTAAAAATGGAATGAAATGTCTCAATAGCGTACAACTAAGCCGTTAAGTTTAATAGAACCCAGTTATTTTAATAATACGTACAGATACACCAATTTTATTTAAATTTATGTACCTATAGATATGTCATATTTATATTTCACAAATATTTTCTTGATGGTTTTTCTTACTTACTTATTTATTTATGGTGTGTGTATGTGTGTTATGCTGTATTATGCTGTTTCTATGTACTTTCTATTAAAAATGAGTGTTTCTAATTCCCTGTGACTAAGTTTATCTAATTAACGTGCTTTACATAAGGATATGGCTTGGCTTGGGTGAACCCGTAACTTTTTGATTAATCAAAAATCTACTAAGTGACGAGTTACATTATTAAGTAAGTAATAATGGCACGAATATATAGTTTTCGGAATACAGATGATACGAGGAACAAAAATTGGTTTTAGATAAAATATATAAATTGAAAGATCTTAGATAAAAAAATTAATAATTGTTTGACGTATTTAAGGCGATACCATACTGTTCATCAGATTTCGGTAAAACTTTGTTATCATACTGCTTGCACTTCCGTGAAGGTTATAGGCAAGGTGGCGCTGTTGTAGAATCCACAATCACCAGTGCGAAGCCGAGGCATATCGCTAGTTGAATATTCAGTTTTCAGATATAAAAAATAATATCTGAAAACTTTCTCAACATATTGCTTGCATTTGCGCGAAGGTTATAAGCAAAGTACAATAAACTTACAGTAGGTGTCGCGCGTGTCGTACCGACAAATTTATTTAGCGTTACATATATATATATATAGGTGCGTTGGGGTAATACCGGACGATTTTCGACCAGTTAAAAGAGTCGGGCAAAAACTTTATTTTCTCGACATCCATATACGTCAGATTTATGAAACATGGCGCAAATCGTTAATAGTTACACGTAATTTAGCTATAAGAAGCTTTTACTTTTCAAAACTCAACAGTTTCTGCTTAAAACGTGTGCGAAGACAGGTATATTTTTTAAATGCATGATGAAGAATTGGCCATCAAAGGGAAGACCGGACGTCGCTAAAAATCGTAAATAAAAGTGATAGGGAAAGACCGGACGGACGAAAAAATACAAAAACTACCTTGTTTTATAAAATACTGCGCAGCACACACCCTACTTTTCGGAGCGACTGGCTGAAACTTGGGGTCGGGGCAGAATAAAATGGAGTCTTGTACCATATTGCTAGCTTTAAAAAATATAGCATAATTCACCGGAAATTTGAATTTTACGGTCTTACCCCATCACCGATCTTACCCCAATGCACTATACATATATTTATCATTCAATTATATATACAGCTCTTCCAAATTTAAAATGATATCGACAATGAATTCTTCTGCGGCAGCAACGCGCCAGGTACTAGAAAAAATAAAGCTCCGCCTTTTGAAATACTAGTAGTCAATTACCCAGACTACACCAACGACACCTAACTACCTGAGGATAAGCGAACGCCCAATTACGTTCTAGGGAGCAAAACCCTATGTGGGACAAGATGACGACGATATTGTGGACAATGTTATAGGCGTCAAAAAACTTACGCACGGTCAACTTTTGCGGTGCTGTGTCTGGGTCGAAATCCCGATTGTATTAATTTAATAAGTTGGTTTTATAAAAAGAATAAGTGTTTATTTGTGTGTATGCTACTATCCCTATTTTTTAAAAAAAAAACGACATTTTTTTCTCTAGACTGTCATACTCTTGTGGTAATTTCGACAATCGCCACATCTGGTAGGTGTATTGGCGATTGCAGTGTTAGTAGAATTTTGTGTTTTTTATACTTTTAGGCTGCAACACCTTCTACATATTTTGCATCTCCTTTATAGAGCCATCTTTTAAAATGCATAAGATATTCCGGACTTTTCCCACTCCTTTCTAATCTCTAGTAACCTCTTACGACACCCACGGAACTATGGCTTGATTGATGGATGAGGATTCTAAAAAGATTTTTATATACAATCTAATATATTTATAGATTGTAAAGAAACACAAGGATTGAACTTACTTATCAGGGCTAGTAGTCTCATTGTCGTCCGACAGAGGCCGCAACCGAACAGTTTCCATTTTGTCGTCCATTTGAAATGTCTGTAACAATAAAAATAAATGTATAATCAGGTGGTAATTTACGAAAATCTGTTATATTCGTCCACATGAACGAAATTAAATGATGTACATTACAGTTTGTCTTGCCACAGTCACTTTCGTAGATAACTATAATATATATTACAACCATCATCATTACAGCATTTCACAAGTCCACTGCTGAACATAGGCCTCCCGCAAGGAATACCACAAAGCAAGGTCTTGAGCCACCTGCATCCATCGACTTCCTGCATGTCTTATTTTATTACATATTACAATCACTTTAGTAGATTACTGTAACTTACATTATTAAGTTACTATCTATGACTAACTCCTCAATAATTACGCGGCCTTAGTTGCTGTCTTAACACATCTAACCATTCAGCTTAAATTATTGTCTATATATGGTTCAAAAACTATTCAGTTTGAGGAAGCGCTATCGAGTGAGGTATTTCATGAAAAATCTTTTTAAAAATTTAAAGATAGATTGAAAAAGCATTTTTGAATGTTAATTTAAAGACAGTGCTTTTTTAATTTGGATATATTTATGTTATTTTATTGATATAGGTCACCGTAAGTAAATGTATTATTTTTAACATTTATGTTTTTTTATGTCTCATTTGTGTTCTTTTTGTGTTCTTCTTGTGATTATAAACTCTTTAAACCTAAACCTAAACATATCTAACCCTACAGTAGTTAAATCGCATAAGTTTCTATCTAAATACAACTAACTTACAGTAGTTACACAATCTGTGTTACCGTCTCAATACGTTAAATAACCCAGTATACACGGCTTGATATACTGTCTATAACTTTAACTATTAGTTACATAACATGAGTTACTGCTTTAATACGTGCAACTATTTTTTATAGAATAAAGGGGATAAACGATCCCACAGACCATATGATGGTGAGTCCTTTGGCTCATAGATATCTACGTCTATCTTCGATTAAGAATCAGATAGAGTATCTATTCTTAATCGAAGAATAGTATAGAATAGAATAATCTAGATAGAGCTTTCGGTACAGGTATTTTTTTTTAATAAAAAAGTATATTAACAATGCTGTTAACATTACTAATATTCCCCTTAACCACTTGTGGTAAGCTTAAATTGCTTGTGTTACGAGTGGTTCACGCCAGTAGTCGAATAGCGGATTCGAACCCACGACCTTTTTGAGTTCGCGGTCCGCGCCCTGCCATTAGGCTATTGTCGCTTCAATATTGAATGTATAATTTCTTTCTGTTGCCCTTTTTTACTTTTTAATTAAATGCCTGCGTAATATACCGATCTACTAGTGATGGAAGCCTTCGATATTATACATTTATCATAAACCTCTCCTACAGAGTTTCGAAAATTCTATTTTGATATATGTCAGTAATTTTTTTTGAAATGTTGATCTTTTCGCGATGGTATAGCTTAATGGCCGTGTAGTGGCGGTTGAGTATTGAGTATCCACTACCCCATATCTTTCCGTGGGTGTCGTAAGAGGCGACAGAGGGAGACAGAAAGGAGATGGGCAGCAGCATCTTCATAATTACAACAATAACATAATAAAAAACTGCGGTCGCCAACCCGCTCGCCAAGCGTGGCAACTATGGCAAATATCCCCCCATGAGCAACGACGCAGACAAACGGCCCCCAGTCCCCGGCAGCCCCGCTATTCCTGGCTACGGTGGCGACCATGGTTACGGCGGGGCAGGGGGTGCTAAGAATCTCCGGTGGAGGTTCTGTTGCCACCTACGACGACTCGACCTGGCAACGTATAACGCACGCACCCTGAGGACTGACGAAAAGATACTGGAGCTGGAAGAAGAGGTAGACAAGTTGCGCTGGCATATTATTGGATTATCTGAGGTCCGAAGAGAGGGGGAGGACACGGTAATCCTCGAGTCCGGCAACTTGTTCTATCACCTGGAGGGCGACCATCTGTCCCAAGGAGGTGTCGGATTTATCGTCCACAAGTCTCTCGTCAACAACGTTGTAAAGATTGGGAGTGTGTCGACGAGGGTCGCGTACCTGATACTTAGAATCACCAAACGGTATTCGCTGAAGGTCATACAGGTCTACGCACCAACCTCGGCACATCCCGATGAGGAGGTGGAGGAAATGTATGAGGATATTTCTAGAGCCATGCATTCCTCCAAAACCCCCACTACACGGTGTTAGTGGGAGACTTCAACGCAAAACTAGGCACAAGAGAAGGCGGTGAGCTGAAATTAGGGAAATTTGGAGTAGGGCAACGGAACCGTAGGGGCCAGCAGCTGGCTGACTTTATGGAGAAAGAGGGACTCTTTATGATGAACTCTTTCTTCCAGAAGCGGCCCCACAGGAAGTGGACCTGGTCGAGCCCCGACGGTTCGACAAAAAATGAGATTGACTTCATTATGACGACCAGACCCCAACTGTTCAGTGATGTCTCAGTGATCGCAAGGGTGAAAACCGGCAGCGATCACTGAATGGTTAGAGGCACAATGAACCTAAACGTTAACTTGGAGAGGTCTCGTCTAATAAAGTCAACGCTCCGTCCCCCTCGTGCTCTAATACAGAATCCCGAAACCTTTCAGCTCGAGTTACGTAACCGCTTTCAGTGCCTATAAGATTGCAATGAAGTGGACGATATGAATGACAAGCTCGTGGAAACTGTCCATGCGGTCGGAGCTAAGTTCTGCAAGACCCGCCGTAGAAGAACACAAAAACTCTCCGATCACACTCTTAATCTCATGGCAGTTAGACGGGAGATGAGGCTGCAATCGTCAACAGATTTGACAGCATACAGGCAACTGAACAGACAGATCTCTAAATGCATGCGGCGAGACTTACGCAACTTTAATACTGCTCGTATTAAAGAAGCGATCGAGCGGAACCAGGCCCCCAAAGTCTTTGCCAGAGGTCTGTCTGCCAGAAAGAGCCAACTGTCAAAGCTGAAGACTGAGTGTGGCAGTATCGTTTCCGGAACACCTGAGATTTTGAGTGAGATTGAGAGGTTCTATGGGCAGCTGTACACATCATCGTTGGAGCCACACGCAAGTGTGAGTAACGATCCAAGAGCAAGTCTTACCCGACACTATTCCGATGATATCCCGGACGTCAGTCGGAGCGAGATTAGAATGGCTCTCCAGCACCTTAAAAACGGCAGGGCCCCAGGCGAGGATGGAATTACAGCGGAGCTTCTGAAAGCGGGTGGAACACCGGTACTTGATGTCCTTCAGAAGCTCTTCAATTCCGTCCTCCATGGTGGCACTACTCCAGAGGCGTGGAGCAGAGGTGCGGTGGTCTTATTCTTTAAGAAAGGCGACAACGCTCTCTTGAAGAACTACAGACCGATTTCCCTTCTGAGCCGCGTCTACGTGCTGTTTTCGAGAGTCATTACGAATCGTCTTGCACGCAGACTCGACGACTTCCAGCCCCCCGAACAAGCCGGTTTCCGAAAAGGCTTCAGTACCATAGACCACATACATACCATGCGGTAGATTGTACAGAAGACCGAAGAGTACAATCTGCCACTTTGCCTGGCGTATGTGTACTATGAGAAAGCCTTTGATTCCGTCGAAATTTGGGCGGTTCTACAGTCCCTTCAGCGGTGCCAAGTTGACTGTCGGTATATCGAAGTGCTGAAGTGTTTGTACAGTAGGGGTACGATGGCTATCCGAGTACAGAACCAAAGTTCGAAACCTGTCCAACTGCAGAGAGGTGTAAGACAGGGTGATGTTATATCCCCGAAACTCTTCACCGCTGCGTTGGAAGACGTTTTCAAACTACTGGACTGGAAAGGATACGGTATTAACATCAATGGCGAGTACATCACTCACCTTCTTATGGCAGAATCGCTGGAGGACCTTAGCACTACGCTCAATGACCTCAATAGTTTCTCCCAACGGATAGGTCTTAAGATGAATGGACAAATAACGGTCATGTCATGTTTAATGTCCATGTCACACCTATGCCGGTAGTTGTTGGGAGCACTACGCTCGAAGTTGTTGACGAGTACGTTTACCTGGGACAAATAGTCCGACTAGGTAAGTCCAACTTCGACCGAGAGGTCAATCGACGGATTCAACTCGGCTGGGCAGCGTTCGGGAAATTACGACACATCTTATCGTCAGGTATACCTCAATCACTGAAAACTAAAGTGTATAACCAGTGCGTGTTGCCAGCGATGACTTACGGATCTTAGACGTGTCTATCCCTCAAGGTCGCTCAGCGAGCTATGGAGAGGGCTATGCTCGGAGTTTCTCTGCGTGATAGACTCAGAAATGAGAATATCCGCAGTAAACCCAGAGTGACCGACATAGCCCAAAGGATTAGTAAGCTGAAGTGGCAATGGGCCGGCCATATAGCTCGAAGAACCGATAACCGATGGGGAAGAAAGGTTCTCGAGTGGCAGCCTCGTACCGTCGTAGTAGGGCGACCCCCACTAGATGGAGTGACGACCTGGTATGACATGCAGAAAGTCGATGGATGCGGGTGGCTCAGGACCGTGCTTTGTGGCATTACTTGGGGGAGGCCTACGTTCAGCAGTGGACTTGTGAAGGACTGTAATGATGATGATGATGATGATAGCTTAATGGAACATTATTTTGATAAAGGCTGCAGCGGTGATGAAACTTTTCACGGATGTCACCGTTAAGAAGGCCACTTTTTTGCAACCAAAATATATTAAAGCATAGACAATGATATAATGACGTCATTCGCCGCTTTATTACGACCGTTATGTAGCGCCACCGCAAACCTAGGAAACCAGAGCTATACAAATTTACAAATAGTGAAATCATTTTGCCAACTTATCTTTATTACTAGTAACATAAAACTTCGGTAAAAATAACTTGTCTCGGATGTTGATTTGCAACATTCTGCCTGACCTTGATGATTTACATCGTAAAGGAACGTCTACAACAGTGGCTGCCAAATTTGCTGGTTGTCGTAAAACTAAGAGTTAGATACTTTTTGAAACGTTAGAGTTAAATTAAAAATTTTGTACAA